CAAGAGGTTTTCTTTGGGTACTATAACACCCTGCATATACCTTTTCCTCCATGAATGGATTTTAAACATATATTTTAGATCCAAAACATATTGTAAAACTATCATAAAACAATGTCTCAGGCATCAGGCAATGTATTTGTAACCATTTCATGTAATACCATTATGTATTGTAGCTTTTAGAGGCATTAAACAGTTTCTACATTTGGTCACCACAACTGTGAGCAATCCTGACTGTGTAGTGTTCTTGCATTTTACATAAAAACCACTCTGAATCACTACATTTTTATCAGTTGGGGGAATTTTCCTTGAACAAGCCCTCCCCAAGTTAACATGGGTGTGTTAACACATGAAAAAGCACTAAGATATGCAGAACAGGGGGTACTCCAGGACCAACTTTGGGATCACTGTTAAAGCACAGTGTTTCCCAACCCACCCAACACCCAGCCTGTCACTCTTAGCTCTGTTCCAACTCCCAGCACACTTATGCATTCAGTTCTTCATTGATTCATTTCCTAAATGTAATGTTCGGAAAGATAGTACTGGGAATCCTCGCTGGGATAGAGCAGAAATGTGGACTGTTAGGGGGATCGCTGTGGTAGGAGTGGACTGGTATAAAAGTAAATGTTGGTTGTCTCACCATGTTTGGTTTCATATGAATAAGAAGGAACATTTTATCATTTATTAAGTTAAAATGTACCCTAACATTAATATACCCTATCAACAATGTCTAGAGACTTTATCTTGAGATATGAAGTTATCGCCCACCTCTACCGCGAGGACTGGACTGAGAAATGCTGCATTAGATTATTCCTACACTACACTGAAAAATTGCCTTGACGGGACAAAATCATTGATACTCATCTCTTTATTCTCAAAGCTTACGAAGGCGTACAAAGAAGCAAGAACGTCTCTAAAAGAATCAGCTTGTTTACAAGCCAGACAAATGTCCAAATGTTTGCGCCATTCTTTTTTTGGCATTTGACAAATACATCTTCAGATGGAATTAAAGAAAGGCAGTTCAGCTTGTCATACTGCACTGCATGTTCTGTTATGGCAGTGCTTCAAGCTGGTTCGCTTGATTTAATGAATACGAAACTTGTCCTGAATTGAACAGACAGGCATCACTGTCTTTTTGAAGAATGCGCTAGATTTGATTGGCAGTGGATGAATATGAGCGGATAAACAGCAGCAGAGTGTAACGGCTGATGGGTTGATTGATGGGGAGAAGAGAGGAGGTTAAGATGATTGACAGCTCTGTGTTTGTGTGTATGCGTGTGTGTTTAGCCAGTGTGTTGCAGGCTATGGCTGTGCTGGTCTGTGCGGAGATGTATCAGGTGAAGCGTCTGCAGCACCTCTGTGAGGTGTGCGTGTGTGCCTACCTGCAGAGCATGCCCAGCCGAGAGCTGGCCTCTACAAGCATCAGCGTGATCCGCCTACTGAGGAGAGCAAAGGTGAGTTCAGCACGGCTTGAGAAGAGTGCTCCCCCTGACAGCCTTACAGGGAGGTTTTGGAAATTTCTGCAAAATTAAATTTTTAAGATGTAAACAGTCATTCAGAGTGGTTAGAAATGGTTCATTGTTGTGGTGGTGATCGGAACCAGGGGTTGCAATATTTACAACGCAAATATAATTGTTTTATTTACTATCCAAAACCACCAGTGAACCTACACGTTTTCTAAGTTTTATATGTGATGCTGATCTTTTTTTGTGAACATATGTTTTCTGTTTTGCCTTACAACACCCTGCCTGTACCTCTCCACCATAAATGCATTTAAAAATGCATTAAAAAAAGAGGTTTAAGGCCAAAAACATTGCAGATCTATTGTGAAACAGTGTCTCAGGCATCAGACTATCTATAACTATTTCATGTCATAGCTTTTTGTGAGGGAGCTTTTAGAAGCGTTAAACACTTCACACATCTGGTTCCTATCACCACCACTGTGTGCTGTGACTCAGTAAGTTTCTCTGTGAGATGAATTTTGCATCAGACCACGCTGGATAACTTTGTTTACATCTTAACTATCTTTTGAAAGTGTTTATTGATGAATTTTTTAAAATTTTCAATAATCAATACATTTCAGCTTGGGCTGTTCCCTCGACTAGCTGACTAATCATGGCATTTTAATCTAACGTTATCTCCTGTGAGCTTATTAATTGCATTTAACTAGCCCACTAGCACATTTCTATAATTTAAAGTAAATCCAAAGTATTTTTAGGTATTTTAGTAACAAAATATAGTGTAATGCTACCTTCTGTATTTGTGTATTGTTTTGTCTTTTTGGCCATCCTCAAGGCAAAAAAGTTGTATTAAAGGAATAGTTTGACATATATATATATATATATATATATATATATATATATATATATATATATATATATATATATATATATATGGTATTTTGTCTGTACTTTTTTCCATTTTTATAGATAACAGTATGTCAGTGTCAGAAAACACATAAGCAAGTCTTTTTGAGATTACTTATTAACCCAGCACAGCTTGAGTCTTTTGTGATGTTTGTGATGATTTAGGCATGCGGTTTGCATAGCTGATGATACACTTCCATTAGCTTCATAATGTCAGTGCAACACTACTGATGCAAACCTTAGACACCAAAAAATTTTTGGCAACATCTGGGGTACTGTGTAAAGGTCTTAGGTGCTCTTTATCTATTTGCTTATCCATTTAAGTTCTCTTTGAAAAAGACCAGTATTTGTGTCTTTGACATGAAGTGAATTTTTGTGCCCAAGTCCATCTTTTATGTAAAACAATTTTCAGTGCATTCATATAAAATTCATTTTAGTTTGCTTTTGCCTCTAAAGGTCTCAAAATATCAGGTGGTACAACCATCCAACCATATGTTTTGATTAAGTAAATTATCAAAAAAGGTAAGTTAATTAAATACAATTCTAAATAAAAGAGTTTGGTATGATTATGTTTGAAAACTTTAAAATAAAACAAAATAAGGCAACTTTGAAAGTACTCAACTCACTGGAAAAACTTTTGTCCGCAAGTTCATACTTCCTCAAATGTCAGACGGCACAGCCCATAAAAAATGCACATCATGTCCTTTTTAATTAACTTTTTTTTTTATTAAAAAAGTCATTTTGAAAACTTCATTTGTCATTGACCCACATACAGTTACCATCCAATACTTACCTTATCTAATTAGTCTTCAATTCATCTATAAATTAAACTGGGTGATGCTGATGGAATTGAACAAACCAGTGCAATGGCTGGAGTGCAGTGAGAAGTCAGGAACCAAATCTGAGTTCTTCTAACTGTATTAATCTAGCCAGCATATTAATAATGTTTTAAAAACAAAAAAATTGGGCTCCAGAATGGCACAGCTGTCTAAGCGTTGGCCCTGTTGTAAAGCGATCACTAGGTTAAGGCCCACAGCTATCCATGGCCAGGTGTCCAAGAGAGCATATTTGACCTCGCTCTGTCTGGGTGAGTAGAATGGACCACCGTTTCCCCCCCATCACTCTGCATGACGCTAGCCAACACAGGCGTCTCTTAGCTGGCGTAACAGAATTGGCAGTTCTCCTCCAAGCGTGTTGAGCTGTCTGATGACGTAGCAGCAGTTCTAAAAGGTGTGGTAGCTGGCTTCACTTTGGAGGAAGCACATCTAGCCTTCACCTTCCTAGCTTTGTAGCATCATGTGATGGGGGAGACGTAGCTACTAGGTGGAACTGGCCATGACTAAATAATGATTTTTAAAGATTTTTTTTACTGTATTTACAGTGAAATCCAGAAGTCTGAGACCACAGTGAAATTTTGAGATTTTTCATTTTAACCTGGAAATTAAAACAGTTTTAGAATTGTGAACAGCTTAAAACAAAAAAAGTTATGATAATTGATAAATTAAAAAAAAAAGTGAAAAACTATGATAATTTCTAGGCCAATATACACATTTAAGCAAATCTCCGACATTATTAAGGCCTTTGTACAAAAACGTCAGATTTTTTTTGTCTTATCTCTTCAACTGAAAATTGTGTTCAGGTGAATCTGATCTGCTCGTCTGGCGCTTTTGCGCAAAGTACAAAAAACATGCCAGCTTGAGTGCACACACTGTCATTAAAGCGAAAAAAGGTTGCTTACTAAATAACCTACAATGAAAAATAGTGTTAAATTAATGTAATAGTAAATATAAGTGTAATAGTAAACAGTAAATTATGAGTCTAATTAGCGCAAGACTTTTGGACCCCACTGTGTATTTATTGTAATGCTGAGATAAATAGTTTTAAATAGTTTTCATGGCTGTCCAGGACTTTTGCACAGTACTGCACATGTTGGACGTTTGGGGTAAGGAGAAAAATGTGGAAATTTTAGTGTTTGAGAACTGCCAAACGAAGCACGCTTGCAGCTGTTCCATATCACAGCTAACAACTTTGATATACAGAAGAGTGGCTGTAGGCATATCGACCTTGTCACTGCATTAGCACAAACATACTGAGGTGGTGTAAACACTATGCAAGTTACACACTGGACTCAATCCAGTGCCAGTATAAATTAGTTCCTTGTAACTGACAGTACATTTTCTCTGTGATTATATTTGACCTGTTTTGTTTTTCCCTCTGTACGCAGTGCCACAATGCTGACCAACTGTATGTCTGGCTCCTCCACTTCATCGCCAATAACTACCTGATCTTTAGCCACAAACCTGACTTCCTGGAGCTATCAGGTGAGCTGTCTGGGACACCATCTGCTTCATAATCATTACAGCAAACACAGTGTCGTTGTTAAAAGCTTGAAAAACCTGACCAAATGCCCTAACCCCCACCCAACATCTGCTACAGTACATTAAACCATTACAAATCACTACCAGCTTGTTGGCATTTGTACTGCAAACAGAGAATGCTAATGCCTGTAGAGCTCCAGGGGGTTCTGTCCTGAGCGCATAATAGCTCAATTCAGCATTGTATAGCCTCTTTAACAGACTTGTTGACTTTCACAGAAGCCATAACATTTTTGAAAATAATGTAACACAAATCATGGCGTTATCTTCTGATTCAAGTTTATTTCAAACTGCAAAGTTTAACTGACGAGGCCCTTTATATAGTGGGAAGGACGGATCTGACCTTGCTATAGAAATGTAATAGACACATGCAAGTGGTAAACATTCAAGACAGTTTTACCTTTAAAGCGATACTTCATTTAAAAATCATTTTCAGTTGATAGAATTCAGTCGATCGGTCAAGACATGTTTGGTGCCTGAAGTTTGCTTCTTTAGTTTTGTGTACAAGCTACAAGGCTAATGTAGCTAACAAGTAACACATACCAATTAGCCAGTTAGCATCATGCATACAGCATGAATGAAACCAATTCAGACTTGTCTCAAACTCTGTAGAGTAGTTCAGTCATCATAAATTATTTCTTAAGTAGTGTTGTATACAGTCGTATGCAAAGTTTGGGCACCCCTGGTCAAATTACAAGTTTGTCCTATACAGAGAACACACTTCTGCACATTTTAATGCATAATTACTGTTTATTTGCTGAATTGGGGAAAATAATAAAACATAAAATGTTTTCCAATATGTTAAACTCAGCGAATAAATAGAAATCCACACCAAACTTTGCAGGAAGTTTGTTCTGTAGGGGGCTGTGTTAACTCTTTTTCAATTAGAAAATCAACAAAACATATAAACTTTATGACTTTGTGTCAGTTTAGTCACAAAAACAAGGCCATCGTAGGCAAATGTCTGATGATTTAGATGTGCAGTTTTCACATTGCTAACATCTACATCAGTCCCGTAGCTCCAGTGCCAAGCTAAAGATACGAACTTTGGACACAAAACATCACTTTAAGTAATCTAGACGGGTTCAAGTGATTAATATTCATGAAGAGCATAAAGCATAGAGTGAATTGCAGTGGTCATATGGGTGTGAGGGGGAGGTGTGTTGCTGTGGTTTCTATGTAGTCACAGTGCTGTTGTTGGACAGAGGAGGAGCGTGAGCAGGTGGAGCGTCTGCGATGGCCCTCTAGAGGATACCTGCAGGAGCTCAGCGAATACCAGCAACGGCGGAGACAGCTGCGCAAATCCCGCTGCAGCATCATGTGACCTCCCTCACGCAGCATGCTGAAGAGAGGAGCGGGTGAGAGGAGAGAAAGAGGGAAGAGGAGTCACAAACAAACACACACAAAGGCAGACACGAATCTTCCTGTGGAACTCTGATGGAATTCTGATGGGATTTTAATGGGATTTTAATGGGATTCTCATAGAATTCTGGTGAAGTTCTGATGGACTGTGTCTGTATAAACGTTGACCTTCGATCCTGTGACATCAGCAGACAGTCATGTGCTGTCAGAGGCCCCGTGGCGAACACTGTGGCTGTGGACGTTACTGTGTTTCTCATGGTGCCCTCCTGCTTTGTGTACACGGAAGTAAACTGTGACTTCAACTGGACACTGCTGACTACAATAGCTGTGTAACTACAGCCGGGTAAGTCGTGGTTGGACCTTGGTCAGAAAGCTCAGTGGCGTAAACTCATTCAAAGCTGGAACAAACCCCAAAGTGTTAAACAGGGTAGGGTCAATCTCATACTCTCTAGAGATTTCTATCACATTCTCATGGTCTGCCATGGTCTTTCATGGTGCGAATTTCTTTAATTTGTGATTACTCTTGCAAAACAACTTGAATAACACCTCAAATGTTTATTTTTTGCCATGAGGTTATAATTTTACGGTGATGCAACTATTTTTGTAACATGTACATCTGAGATTTTTATTTGGGAACAAATATGTACGCAGTATATGCATCCAGCATGTGGATTGTTTAGTGCAGTCAGTCAGTGTGTTGGACTTCTCTGGCTGTCTTTAGTCTAGTGCAGTTCTGTTTATCTTCATCTCACACTGAATAAAGACATTTTAGAAGGATCCTGAGGTGGCGCGCGTTCGGAGAGTCACTGTGTGCCTATCCAAGAAGCAGCAGCAGCGGTGGCGGCGGGTGCTGCCGGGAGCTGTGTTTGTTTTTATCCTTACTGAGAGAACAAGAGTGTGAGCGACAGAGCAAGAGAGAGAGAGACTGAGTGATGGGGGAGGTGTTAAGGAGCAAAACAGAAAGAAAGACACAGAAGAGAAAACATGAACGGTGAGAGAAATCGATATAGGGAAAAAAATAGAATGAAAGAAACAACTCAAAGAAAAACAAAGACAGAAAGAGCAATAGTTATAAGATGGAGAAAGGGAAAATGGAAGAAAAAGATGGAAAGAAAAATAAAGACAGATATAAATATAGAAGAAAAAGAAATGGAATGGAAGAAAGAAAGAAAGAAAGAAAGATGAACGTGGAGAAAGGGAGAATGAAACAGAAAAAGAAAAAGAGAACAAAAAGAGATAAATGGGGTGAGAAATGCATGTGGAGACAGAAAGAAATGGAATGAATGAATGATAGAAAGAAATGAAAAGGAGAAACAGAACAAAAGAAAGAGAATATAAAAAAAGAGCGAGAGATATCAGATGAAGAAAGAAACAGAAAAAAAGAGACACCAAGAGAAATAAGATAGAGAAAAAAGAAACGGAGGAAAGCAGGAAAATGAAAGAAAGATAAGGAAAGAGTTAAAGAGAAAAATAAATATAGAGAAAGAAAGAAAGAAAGAAAGAACGAAGAAGACCAAGAGAAATAAATGCGGAGGAAGAAAGTTAAAAAAATAAAAGAAAACAAAAGAAAGAGTTAGAAAAAATGTGGAGAAAGGGAAGAAAGAAAGGAAAAGAAAGAAAAATAGAAGAGTAAGAGAAATAAATGGAGAAAGACAAGAAATAAAAGAAGGAAATCAAGAGTGAGAAAAAAATAGTGAGGTGGAGAAAGAAAAGAAAGAAAGAAAAGAAAGAAAGAAAGTTTATGTTGGTGCGCGTGTTATTTACCTACCGTGACGTCACTGCAGGGCTCCTATTTTCTGCAGCATTCCTGCCAGCTTGGCGCTTCTGTCCAGTGCTGAGACGTCACTGCCCCCTCCGATACACTCCTCACCTATAAACACGCGGGGCACCTGCAACCACACACACTCTGTTACACTCACAGTCGCCTCCACAGCGGTTAGTTCTGATTTAAGGCGACAGAAACACAGCGAGTCTGTTCCTCTACAGCGGCTTAAACAGGGTAGTGCACTTTTACGACGGTGCCTTAACCACGAGCCAGCCAGCTTTTACTGGGAAATCAAAATGACTCATGGCTTCCAGTTACAGCAAGTTTAAACCGGAAGGAAAGATCCTAGAAATCTGAAACTGTTCAATATAAGTTATTCATAAAAATATCAGAAAGAAGCAGCAGAGAACCTTTCGACCACTGAAACAGGTGTAGCTGAGGAGAAGAGACGAGGGGCTATAAACAGTGAGGAAAAGGTGACATGCAGAGAGAAGAACTCACAGTTCGAGCTCCGGTTATCTGCTGCAGGTAGTCCTGTATGCTGCCCATGTCGTCCCGTCCACTGATATCGATGAACTCCAGATGTCCTTCTTTGAACTTGTACTTGGACAGCACGTCTTTGGCCTGCACGCAGTACGGACAGGTCGGCTTCAGGAACACCACCACTTTATCTCCCTTGATTTTCGCTTTCACGAATTCCTGAGCCATGCTGCTGCTTGTCGCCCCCAGACTTCCACTTCAGCCGGACCACCGAGGAGCTCTGTGACTGGACAGAGGTGGAGAGTAACAGACCAGCCGTGTATGTTCTGCTCAGCGGCGGTTTGTTTCCCCTAAGAGGAGGAGTCAGTTTCTACTTCCTCTTAGCTACAGCGGCGTCTCTTGTAGGGTCAGGCTAATGATCGTCCATCGTTTTTAATGTCGAAATAAACAAGACAGATCCTCAGACAGGGCACTCCGCTGACAACTGATACATACTGAGTGTCCAAAGAAGCTAAAGGCCCGTTCAAATGAGTGAATTTAGCTTTAATGTGTAACCGCTGGCGCCCACAGCCTGTATCTCTATAGGAAAGCATTACCAGTAGAATGACGCGCTCTGGAGCAGCTGCACATGAGCCACCATGCCCAGTCCTAAGGGTCTACTACACTCTCAGAAAAAAAGGTAGTAAACTGTCACTGGGGCAGTACCCCTCTTGTCACTGGGGTGGTCCCCTCAAGGGTACATCTCAGTACCTTTAGTCAGGGAACATAACTGTACCATAATCCACTGAAATGATATTCTCTTAAGTTGTATTGACTCCACACACCCCGTCTCGTCTCCAGGCTTTTTATTTTATTGTTCTGTTTTAAAACATTCGGTTACGAAAAGGTACAAATATAAAAATTTTCACCTGGAAAAACTTATTTAAGATGCACAATTGGACCTTAAATCCACTGTTGTTCCTTTGAGGGAACATTTACATTGTTTGTACCTTGATGAAGGAAAAATGTAGCTGCTCAGAACCTTTATTTCTAACAGTGTAGAGGGCATCTGAGCTCCCTGGAGTGATGGAGTCCAATACCTTTGGGATGTGTTGGAGTGGGGTGTGGTATGGAGAGAAATAGAAAGAGAAAGAGAGAGAGGGAAAGAGAAAGAAAGAAAGACAAAGAAAGAAAAAAGGAAGAAAGAAAGAAGTATAGAGAAAAAAAAATTGAGTAAGGGAAAAAACCAAAGAGAGAGAGGCTGAAAGAAAGCATGACATTGAAACAAAGATTAAAAGAAAAAGAAAGCGTGAGAGAAAAAATGTAGATAGAAAAGAAAGAACTGAAGAAAGAAACTAACAAAAAAAGAGATCGATAGGGAGAAAGAGAAAGAAACAAAGAGAGGGGGAAAAGAAATAGAGAAAGAAAAGAAAAAGAAAGATAAAGAAAAAAGAAGAAGAAAGAAAGAAAAAAGAGAGAAAGAAGAAAAACCATGATAGAGAAAAAATAATACTGAGGGGAAAAAAGAAATAGAATGAGAAGAAAAAAAAAACAAATAAAAACAGAGAGAGGATGAAAGAAAGATAAAGAGAAGGGAAAGTGTGAAAGAAATAAATGTAGATAGAAAAGAAACAGAATTAGAGAAAGTAAAAAAAATGAAAAAACAGATAAATATGGAGAAAAAGAATGAAAGAAAATGAGAGAACAAAAACCTCCTGACTGTGAATTCAAGTTTGTCCCTAAACCCTTTCATTGACTCTGAAAGGGCTTTTCAGAGTCTGACACTATTGTTCTAAAATCCCTGATGATTAAATGACTAAATTTAGTATCAGCAAGAAAAGGACAGATACAATAAATATGATTATGCTTAATATGAACATTCTGGGTGATGCTGGTGTGAAATTTAACAAGAATGTGAAGCTTTGTGAAGAGTTATGGCCTCTTTGAAGATCATGCACTGCTCTACACTGCAAAAAAAAAAATACAAGAATGAAAGTAAATCTAATCATCCTGTCTAATATTCCTCATTTGGAGATTGTTGTAAGAACATTGATTATTTAACATGTTTCTTATTGTAAATATGCTCTTATTCTATTATCATTTTAATTGTTTCGAGGCATAATGCTTAGGCCAGCAAAAAATAAGACAGTTTAAATGACTTAAAACACAAAAAACTGTTCTTACAACAGTCATGTTAGATGTATCAACCAGATTTTTGATGATTTCCCTCACCAGTATACCATTTTTAGTGCATGCACACCTGTAAGTGTGCCAAATATAATGTTTACATATTGCTTTTCAAAATGTCTGCATAATTCAGTTGTTGTAAACAAAGTCGTTCAGCGTGGTTTGATGTGAAATGGTTCATTGTCTATAACACAAATATAGCCATTTTATTTTCTAGCCAAAATGACCAGTTTTTATATTGTTACTGTTGTGACAAATTTCGTTTGTCCAAAATACTAACTGGAATAGTGACAAAACAGTAAAAGGAGAGGAAAAAACATTCGTAACTTTCAAAGTTAATGGAACAAATTTTTTTTTTTCCACAACAACAAGTACAAGTAATTCTGGATCATTTCTATTGGTCTGTTCATCATGAAATTCTAACACAATGTAAATACCAGCCGGCATTTTCAAATTTCGTTGAGAATGCAGTGGGCCAGTAATGCGTCTAGATACACTATATGGACAAAAGTATTGGGACACCCCTCCTAAATATTTGCATTAGGAGTTTCACGAAATGGGTTTACATGGCTGAGCAGCACAACACAAGCCTAAGATCAAAGGGCACAATACCAAGCATTTGGGGAGTGGTGTAAAGCATGCCACCACTGGACTCTGTAGCCATGGATACATATTCTGTGGAGTGACGAATTACGCTTCTCTATCTGGCAATCTGAAGTCTAAGGTTGGCGAATGCAAGAAGAACATTACACTTGGCACAATGCAATCATGCAGGTAAAGTTTGGTGGAGGAGGGATAACGCTATGGGGTTGTTTTTCAGGTACTGGCCTAGAACCCTTAGTTCCAGTGAAGGGAATCTTAATGCTTCAGCAGACCAAGACATTTTGGACAGTTGTATGCTTCTAACTTTGTGGGAACAGTTTGGGGAAGACCCTTTTCTGTTCCAGCATGACTGAGCCCCAGTGCACAAAACAAGGTCCATAAAGGCGTGGCTGGGTGAGTTTGGTGTGGGAGGACCACACAGAGCCCTGACCTCAACCTCAACAAACACCTTTGGGATGAACTAGAACAGAGATTGTGAGTCAGGCCCTCTCATCAGTGTTTGACCTCACAAATGCTCTTCTGGATGAATGGGCAAAAATTCCAACAGACGCTCCAAAATCTTGTAGAAAGATTTTAGGAAGCTGTTATAACTTCAAAGGGGGACCAACTCCATATTAATCCCTATGGATTTAGAATGGGATGACATAAACCTGTATAGATGTCCCAATACTTTTGTCCATATAATGTATGTGCACTCCAGTATTCACCTGGGTCATGCCATTTGTCCCAGTCAGTCTTCCTTCATTTTATAAAAGGCTACATTAGAAACAATCATGCATTTCTCTCTTTCTCACTCTCTCAGTGGCCCAAAATGAAAGAGAGAATGAAAGGAGATAACACGGAAGAGAAATATATATGAAGACAGAAAGAAATGGAATGAATGAATGAAAAAAAACTATAAAGGAGAAAGAGAACAAAAGAAAAAGAGAGTGAAAAAATATGAGAATTGTTCCAGTCCTCCTAAAGGACAATCCATACCTGTTGATGACAATGAGAATGATAAAATAGTGCTAAACCTAAAAAAATAAGAATTTTGGGGACTACAGTGTCTTGCAACACTTTGCATACACCTATCCACCATGAATGTATTTAAAATAATTCATTTTATGCCAAAATCTTATCTGAAGACTATCATAAAATAATACCTTGGAGATGAATGCACAGGCAGTGCATTCATAACTACTTTGTATAATAACTTTAGGTGAAGGAGCTTTTAGGGGCATTAAAAGCTTCACATGTCTGGTTCCTATCACCACCACCGTGAACAATTCTGACTAAGTTCCTCTGGAATGGAGCATTTCACGTCAAACTGACAAACACACAGAATGCCTTTGTTTACATCTTAATCTAATTGTGCAGTTTTAAAAATTGGTGAAATCCCCCTTTAATGCCCTTCAATAGGGAAGAAACATTGCATGAGCAAGTATCTACCCTTTGGACATATAGTGTAAAATTTCCTCAGTTCCCCAGGAACACAGTTTCCAGCCAAATCCAAATCAAAATCCTGAAATTGAAATCCCCCCAAAAAATAATAATATAAAAATGCACACTGCATTAGATATCACACATACAGACTGCTTCATTTCTACTGAGATGATCCTGATCCTGAAAGACAGCAAGATTGCTGAATGGTTTCACTGAAAGAACATCCGCCATCAATTTAATAATGTCCATTTCACCCGATTCCATTATGCCCATTACTGCAATGTGAAATAAATGTCTAGGGAATTTACAATGTCTTTCCACATGGACAGTGACCTCAAAGCATATCTGGCCAGTCAGACCAGGACAAATAGTTCTGTCCTTATGTGATGGAATAATGAGGTCAAAATCTGTACTTTCGTAGCCTGGTAAAGCAATTTGAGGTGAAAAGGTCAGCACAAAGCAACAGCAGCCAACGTCAACTCCTGTTTTAATGTCTTCAGAGTGTTCCAGTATGGACTGATCATGAATCGTGGATTTCAGCCTCCATCAGTCTTTGTAAGATTTATTTTTCAATAAAACTTTTGGACATGTGTTTTTTTTTTGGATAGAAACACAGCTTGTGTTGGCAAGAAACTGTTTCTCTTTGGATAATTTAGAGAAATCAGATATTATTATTGTAAAAAAAAGAAGCAGCAGGTTAGAGCTTCACCAAAAGGAACCAGAATACAGTAATTTCTAGTTCCCTACAGAAATATTAGTACAGTAGAAAGCTGCCCCCCACACCCTGCAGCGACCAGACTAATATCAGACACATACACCGATCAGGCATAACATTATGATCCTTGTTTCTACGCTCATTGTCCATTTTATCAGCTCCACTTACTATATAGGTGCACTTTGTAGTTCTACAGTTACAGACTGTAGTCCATCTGTTTCTCTGCATACTTTGTTAGCCCCCTTTTACCCTGTTCATCAGTGGTCAGGACCCTCATGGACCCTCACAGAACAGGTACTATTTGGGTGGTGGATCATTCTCAGCACTGCAGTAACACTGAGGTGGTGATGGTGTGTTAGTGTGTGTTGTGCTGGTACGAGTGGATCAGACACAGCAGTGCTGCTGGAGTTTTTAAACACTGTATCCACTCACTGTCCACTCTATTAGACACTCCTACCTTGTCAGTCCACCTTGTAGATGTAAAGTCAGAGAGGATAGCTCATCTGCTGCTGCACAGTTTGTGTTGGTCATCCTCCAGTCCTTCATTAGTGGTCACAGGACGCTGCCCACAGGACGCTGTTGGCTGGATATATTTGGTTGGTGGACTATTCTCAGTCCAGCAGTGACACTGAGGTGTTTAAAAACTCCAGCAGCACTGCTGTGTCTGATCCACTCAGAGCAGCACAACACACACTAACACACCACCACACATCAGTGTTACTGCAGTGCTGAGAATGATCCACCACCCAAATAGGCCCTGCTCTGTGAGGGTCCATGGGGGTCTTGACCACTGAAGAACAGGGGGCTTACAAAGTATGCAGAGAAACAGATGGACGACAGTCTGTAATTGTAGAACTACAAAGTGCACCTATATAGTAAGTGGAGCTGATAAAATGGACAATGAGCGTAGAAACAAGGAGGTGGTCATAATGTTATGCCTGATCAGTGTATATGAGATTAGTATTAAAACAAAGTCGCAGACCACTCTGAACTCTTTTACAGCATCAGAAAAAACTACTTCAGTTGTTTTAGTAGTTTTTAGTTTTATATGTATTAAGTTTTTGCCCTAACTGCAGCTGCACTGTAAAGTTTGGGGGATTGACATTGGGCCTCATTCACCAATATCTTCCTGTGTTCTCCTTAAATTTGTTCTTGAGGAAGGTCCTAAGAAAAAGTCTCAATCAGATTCATGACGTGTTCTTAAACTGCAGAATTGTTCATACCTTTGTGCTCTTACTTGTGCAGAGTTTGTTCTTACCCAAGAATAAATCCCAAATAAAACATTGGTGAATGTCAGAATCTTTGTGAAAGCTGTGTAAGAGGGGTTTTAAGAAGAAATGTCTTCTTAAGAACTGTTGGTGAATGAGGCCCATTAATCTCCACATCACAAAAGCAAAACCACCTGGACATCTAGCCTCCAGTAAAACTGGATTCCAACACTAATCTCAGACATTCTAAACAAAAGCACATGTTCCGGATTAAAGGGGAATTCCATAAATTCATCAAACTTTCTGCCTAATTCAATCACTGAGATGTAAACAGTCAGAGTGGTTAGGTGTAAAATATTTCAGTGTGGAGAAACAAACTGACTCTTAATAGTAATGGTGATAATAACCAAGGGTTGCGATGTCTACAGTGGAAATAAGTAAATAAAATGGCTTTTCATTAATCATCTGCTGTGGAAATCACTGTGGTCAAATCTAGGAATCAGAGTAAAGTGGGCAGGGAGGGGAAGGGGCTTACACTATGTATGTCCCCAAGCTCAACTGACTGGGCTCTTTATAAGTCTTTATATTACACTAATTATAAATGCTAGGAGCTGTGATTCTAGGAGTCATTAAGAGTCATTGTGTAAAACATTTTAACATACAAAATATCAAAAAATGTACTTGAAAAATCCTATCAGTCCTGGAAATATGAGCATCACTACACCTCTCGTGCACATTCATGTAAGCTATGTGCATAATGCAAACACTGACATATGAACACAGCACAAAAAGGCACTCCTTATTTTTGCTGTATCAAATTATGAATTTTGTGTATCGTTACACTCCTTATTATACCAGCTTCAGTTTTACAGGCGTAGAACTACCATCCCCATAGCTGCCTTTCCTGAGTGCAGCTGTACTGTACATTTTGAGGGAGCTTGAATTTGATCTCAATAATACAAAAGCAAATCTTTCTCCCAGAGATGGAGCTTCCTATTCTCCCAGACATTCTGCATAAATAAAAGCATGTCTCAGAATTCCTGAATATTCAAGCAGGCTGATGAAACCATTACAGCGTTTGATGTAAACAAAAATAGGTCAAGAAAGAAGCTTGGGTACATAATATTTTGTCAAGTTCACATTTTATTGAACTGATATAATGCATTTCTCAGGTGAGCAGGTTGGAATTCCTCGAGAACAATCTGAATAAACCCCATCCCACTGCTAAATCAAAAGACGAGTGGTCTTTTTTTACCTTTTGCTTGTTTTCTGTCTGACGCATGCCTTAACCCTTAACACTTAACATCTCTTAAATAGTTAGTGTCAAAGACATTGAATGGTCTCTTCAAAAGAGCAATGGAATTAAGTCTTGTTTTTTGACATAGTCCCAGAAATGTATCAGTATGAATGTATGTGTGTGTATGTGTGTGTGTGTGTGCGTGCATGTACAGATCCAAGAATACAACGTCCTCGCTCTCTCTCCACGAACCCAACAAACACTTCACAGTGCAGACACCAAGTTTGCTGAAGGGACAGTCAATCCTAAAGCTCTCAATGCCAAAAGTTAGAGAAAGAGTCTCTCCAGACGAGCTGCATTGGACTTAGGAAGGAAGGAGGGAGAGAGCGGGCAACACGGCCAAGAGATAAAGTGCTGCTGAACTCCGCTAATTAATCATCATATGTATTTAGCTTTGTCATTTGTCACTGCTTGATCTACCTCTGGGACACAAGAGTAATGTAATTATCCAGGGAGAGGATGGGAAAAAGGGAAGAAAAATGAAAATCATTCTTGCTCTGGCACCAGCAGACCCTGCTTAGTTACTCAGATAGCATCGGTCCCTAAGGAAAGGCTTGCATCCCATCTGCTGAGCACTGCCTCAGATTTGCGAATCAGGCACAGACCCAAATACTGAACAGGATTTATCCATTTCTCTGTGGGTAGCTTCAAAGCAGCCAACTTAGACTTCGAACCACACTGAATACTTTATGGGTTTTAAAGGAATAGTGTTTTTCCCCAACCTAATCTCTCTGTTGAATCTGTGGCCTGTCCATTAACTTCTATTATAAGTGTGTTTGGAGCTCTGTTCTTTTATCAGCTGGAAAACATTTTCACATTGTTGTCTGTTGTAACAGAATGGATGCCACAGATGGAGCAGATAGAGGTTAGACTGAAAAAATACTGGAGTATTCCTTTGAAGCAGGGTAGTTGTGATTCTCAATACTACATTTTGGGGGCGATTATATCAAGTTTGACCCACAATCTTTCCTCCTCCACATGTTAGTAGTGAACAATCTGTGGAGATAATACTCAAATGGGTCAAACACACAAGAAACAGGAGCAAATAATGAGAGAAAGTCTCTCCTATCCAGTAAGACTTTGCACATGGCTGTAGTGACCAGATTCAAATGAGACTAGACTGCATCACAGGGAGCCAAAACAGTGTCTGCATTCATAGATAATCATCAAAACATGATCAATCTGGATGATTTTGGTTTTGGATAACAATAAGAATGGAACAGAGTAAGTGATCAAGGATTTAAGAAAGCTAAAATTGTGCATTGTCTGACAAAAACAGGCTAAAAACAATAGTCTATGTAGTTTATTCCAAATCATCCATTTCCTTTTGGCAAAACATCCTAACACAGGTTTTTGTAAACATAAGATTTCCCTTAAACTTTAAGCATCTCTAATATTGATACCATGAAAATAAAGACTTTAGTATATTTGATCACTTCCATCATTTTTCCATCCACTTGTCTCAAACGTAAATCAGCAATTTTCTTCCTCTTCATTTTAGAAAAACAAACAAAAACATATATTGCTATTCAGAAGTCATAAATAACTCCGCTCTGAAACTCATGGAATAATTAAGGACACATCTTAATAGGTCTCTGTCTGGTGATCTTGTCTCACAGTACCTTATCTTTACACAATTCTGTGGAGAGAAAGCGCTCCAGCCATCCTCCACCCTTCTGCTCTTTCAAATTAAGAACATGTAACACTAGCCAGGTTGATCCTGAGTGCTCTGGCTGTTCAAAGACAATAGCAGCTTTTTTTGGTTTTCATTTTCTATTTTTTTTCTGTTTTACTTGTTTATGGTCTTCTATCCACATCCCCACCCACCCAGTTTTGCACATACCCTCCCGCAATCCCCCCCGACACGCACGCAGACGCACAAAACAGAAAATTCAACAGGGCTCTCTCACACGCACTCACACTTCTCTGCCTGACCGCTCTTACACACACATCCTGTCTCAAAAATAAACACTGACAATCCCTCAATATATTGCGTTCTCTCTTCACGCGAACGCACACCTTCTATAGATGTGTGCGTGACCCGTCACTAGGTCGTAGACGTTTCTCTCCCCACACCCGCCCCGGGCCCCTGTCGGACTCCACATCGCTGAACGTGTAAACGAACACATTAAGGCACCATTTGCACGGTGAGCAAGAATACTGCTGAAAGCAAGCAGGGTCCCGGCAGGAAGGGAAGCTCATGGCTCCGTTTTTTTCCCCCCATTTATAACACGCACTGGCTCAGCCGCCCCTGTGCAAAAGGCTTCAGGAAGTCAAATACATACTGTATTGTAAGGCCCCAGGTATTGCATTGCATCCAAAAAAGGAATCTAAATCTTATAATCATCTGTGGACTCAATCTCCTCCTTCCATTCAAAATAAATAGATCTTCCTTTTTCTCTTTTAAATACAGGTAGCTATAGATATAATATTTTCTTTGCTTTGAAAAATGTTTAATTCTCTTCTGTTTTTTGTCTTTTTTAATAGTCCTTCCAAAAGAAGAAAAGCTCGCAAAGTAAGCGATATCCCCCTGGACATGCATGACATCACTAGCAGGAAGAGTGGCTCTCTCTTCTCTTAAACAGGCAGTGGTCAGGAGGGACATCACTTCAGAAAAAGGGAAGAATAAGAGGGAAGAGGGGAAGGAAAAGGGGACTAAGAATGAAATGTTGACTTGTAAAACATGGTTGAAAGGGAGTGGGAAATGGGCGAAGGTAAGAGGGGACATTTAGAAAGAGAAGAAAAAAAAATGCTGTTTGATCCCCTCGCTCCCTCTGGCTGTGGTCTTTAGGCTCTGGAGAGCTCTGATTGGTTGCAGGCTTTTCTCGGGCCCCACCACCTAAAGCCAGGACTGCGCCCTCCGCTGGTCAAAGTCAGCAATGAGCCTCTTGATGTGGGCCAGCTTGTTGTGCAGATATTCACAGCGTTGCTTCTCATCATGGTAGTTTGGGTTGTGCTGGAGGCAGAAAGGAAGTACAATTAAATTCTGTTAAATATTGCATGCCACAGAAATTGAGGCTGTGTTTTTAAGGATATATTCAACCATGAGTGATCTGATCTTTATTAGTTCTAACTCACTTTTTTCACTTTCTTGTATTCCTGTAGCACCTCTTCATGCACCTCCTACACAGGGAAGATATTTGAAGCTGTTTATTTTGAAGGAGATTTCATATGCTATCTATTTGAAATTTGCATTCCCAACACAAAGTGTTGCAAAGTATTCACCCTTAAGCTCTACAAAGCTGAAGTAAGCGTGGAAAAAAAGCCAAATGTATTACCATTTAGAAATGACCCAATTTTGTGAGCAAAGACTAACTCTGTCTGTGTCAATCTTACATAAGGCCACTCTGTATTTGTATTTGTGTGTGTGTGTAATATATATATATACATACACACACACACACACACACACACACACACATATACATACATACATACATATATACACATACATATACACACACACACACACACACACACACACACACATACATACATACATACATACATATACATATAAATTCACAAAGCACATAAGGCTCCATTACAGAGTTCCCGGGGTTTTAATTCACAAATATACTCTGACCTGGTACTCTTTGGTTCCAGGCAGGAGGCGTCTGCACTGGGTGTCTAGCTGAGCGAAGCGCCGTGTTATGCTCTCCACACGAGCATGAAGGACACGATACTCATCGTACTCAGCGTTGAAGTCGTCCTTGTAGCGCTGCCTCTGGTCTGTAGACACCACCGCAGTGTACTTACTGCAGAAGATGAAAAGAACATACATTTAATTGGTTTGCAATGTAGAACTGTTTGACTAAACATTAAAGAATGTCCAAGGTTAGAGGAGAGAGGCTGTACAGATAAAACAGTCTACAGAGAGTGATGGTGTAAGTACTTTGATCTAAAACAAAACAACCTGACACAGAGAGCACACTCAGCCTAGGGACAATGTCATCTACAGAGATCTACTGAAACTTACGCTATGTAATCGGGGATCACAGGCGTGGAAAGTTCAGTGAAGTCAGATTTGCTTGTTCTGTCTATGGAGAAATCAAAGTCATGACATAAGACATCTGCATAGAACGTATGAGTCTTTACTCCTCAAACTAATGGCATAAGGCATAATTCTCCTAGAAGTTCAGTTCAAAATGAAAATTAAGCAATGCAGCAACAAGGTAGACGTTCACTGAGCTACCATTTCAGAGATTCATAAAGCTACAGGCAGTAACCATGGGTGTGACGTCTAGACTCAATCTTCCACAATACCTGGAAAGGAAAGTACCTTACAGGGAAATGATGCATAAATTCCATGACAAAGCAAACCATGACTGACATTAAATGTCATGAACATTAATCCAGTCTTGTTCATAATCTTTGTTCACCTTCATAATTTCTCTCATGCTACATGTTTGCATCCTGAAGGTATTTAGTAGTTGTGCTCCCTGACGTCCATTTTTGTGTGGTTTAATGGATCAAAAACAAACCGTCCCAATTCATTGTCACATGACTGTGTTCCAACCCCTCTTTTTACCTTACAATTAAACAGACTGTTCTGATTGGCTTGTCTTGTCTCCTTGCTGAAATACTTTTTATAACTTCAGCATGAATGGGTGCGGCTTAACTGCTGTCAGCTCAATATACAGCTACATAGCTGTTTGCAGAAATTTAATCACCCCCGGTCAAACTACATGTTTTGTTGATTTTCAAACTGAAAATAAGTTAACAAATCCTCTACAGAGGACAAATTTAAATATGAAGTTTTCCAGCAAATTTTTTCAACAATTTCTAATTATTTGCTGAATAACTTTTTTTGGAAAAAAAAAACAAAAACGTACCATAACTTTTGCATACGCCACATTTTATGTTAATCCCCCACCCAATATGTTAAGTTGTGCAAATAAACTGTAATTTGAGCACTGAATTCAAAACAGGCTGTTTTTGTTGCTCACATTCCATATGTGGACCGTATGGACCAGGGAGTTCCATTGGTTTTGAAACTAACAATGTTTACACACTATATCGAATGATAATATTTCACTGGAGCAGAGAAAATTCAGTTTTTTTTTTTATGATATGGAACCTTTAAAAGATTGCACTGCCAAATGTATATTCTTTATTCAAATTCCACAAAGTGGTTGCTAATGGGCTGTACATGGTCCCCTATGCTTTTTCTGACCTCCTGAAGAGAGAAAATTACAATACTCACCTTCACCACGTGGTTCTGCGTCTGAAGCAGGGCTGTGGATGATGGTTGGCACACACCTCTCCTCTGCCTCAGTGCGGTGTCTCTTCCTGGGCCTCTCGCTCTCCTCAGCGTGGCCCTCCTTGTGCCTCCCTCTATCCTTTTCTCTCTCCCTCTCCTTATCTTTGTGCTTCTTGGACTTCTTTTTGGGCTTTTTGCTACTGCTGACTGCTGGGGACATGGCAGAGGTGGGGAGGACAGAGGATCTGGAGACTGATGAAGAAGAGGAGGTGAGGGTGGGCTGACTGGGGGGGCTGGGCGTGAGGGTGCGGGTGCGAGGGGCATAGCGTTCGGTTTCCTCCCCACATGTGGAGCTCTGGTCCAGGGGCAGGTCCTGTGTTCCACGGCCCTCGGGCGTGCTCGGGGAGTTGGAGTTGGAGCCGGAGGGGGGGTGAGAGACAGGCGGCTGGGAGGAGGGTCCTGGGCAGGCTGCAGTGACCGGCGGTGCAGATCTCTTCTCCTCAGCTTCTGTAGGGGTGCGTCGTTCTGATGAGCTAGGAGCCCCTCGGTTACTGAGGTGGGAGATACGTGGCTTCTTGGGCATCAGAGGGTCAATGAAGTCACCCTCGGGCTGGCGCTTCTAAACAGAGGAACAAAAGGGTTGAATCAGTAAACAAGCAAAATAGGTATGTACTGATACAGAATTTCTGGGCAGATAACAAAAATGAATGGCTTGTCATGGCGATACCAATAATAATAACACTAATAAATCACAAAATAATCCATACACAAAGCGCAGTGAATGTAAGACAAGTTAAAAGATGGATCATTGATTAATATCACATAGCTATGTCTTGGCTAAATCAGACAGACAAATATTGCAAACAAATACATTCTAGTAATGTGCATTCTGACCAATTTTGATATTCCAGTATTCGTAACAGTTCATGAGCAGATATCTGGTTAACTGAAGGGAAGGAAAAACAATGTTAATTCAAAAAACAAAAAAAACAAAAAAAACAAACCAAATTCGTTTTTTTTTTGTTTTTTTTTTTATTTTAGCATTGTTTTTTTTTTTTGGTGTAACACTGTTTTTCCCAGTTAACCGGATATCTGCTCATGAACGAGTACTTCAATATCAGCAACAGCAGTAAGTTAGTGATACAGCCACGCTATCTCTGTTGCCAAAGACATGACCGAGAAGGCAATGTTCATGTTAAGGCACTTGTGTTTTGGAGTACTAAACACTTACTTGAAAATACAAGGAAAATCATTGTGTTTCACTGAACTGAAGACAGAAAATATTCAGCCAACATGATGAAAGGTAATGCATACATGAATAGTGATTTCAGTATTAAAATACTAGCACCTCAAAAGGTTACTCAATATGTGTGCACTTCCACACATTATTGCATTTTTATTGAGACTGACTTTGAACAGCATGCAATTGCAGCCTTAAGAATTTTGACCAAGGACTATTATTAATAAAGCAGTGGTGTTCCTGTCTGAGAATCTAATGTTCCATGTGCAAGGTAGTATCGTTATCGACTATTCTATCTATCTCAGCAAATTTGAGAACAGAAATGTTCACCAAAAAAGAGAACATGTTATCTTTGAGTATAACTAATTAATTTGGAATTCTAGCTGCTTTCATACCTGTGGCGATGTGGGTTCTTTAGGAGAACTGCTGGATGAGAGTGAATCTGCAGGCAGTCCTAGTTTCCTGCAAGAGACACAAAAAGAGGATCAACTTCAGCCAGAAGCTGACATTACTTCACCAAGCCCTGTACTGCTGGCTCTCCGATTCCACATTCAGTCACTTTTGAAGGGTCGTTTTCTTCTCTGTGCTTACTGAACGCTTACCGAGCCAGGATCCTGTCCAGCTGAATACGCTCATCCTCTGAGTATCCTGGCCAGTCCCTCTGGACCTCACGGTAGATGAAGTCCCTTAGTGAGTACGAGTTATCCTTCGGGTTAAGATTGGCAACCTGACAAAATGACAGAATAGACTGCAATGAGAATATTTTAAATTTAATGAATGTCTCTTTTCATGCTGACTGTGTCTCACTTCAAACAGCCCACAAATGGTTCAAAGATGAGCCATACTTGTAAGTAGGTGTGTTCCCCTAGATTTTGTAACATGCTGGATGGCTATCTAGAGGTAGGAGGGAGGAATGATGGCAAAAAAGCAGGGCATATAGGGCTTTGGCTTTTAAGTACTGAATAGCGCATGTGGGATTGACTGACTGTGTAAAGCGATTTAAAATTGGTCAATTTCCCGAAAACTGGTCTAAATTGCATTTTGAACAGTCTGGCACATTTGTTTTTATTGCCCAGCTAATTTAGAGGCCTGGCAGTCCTAATGCAATTTAAACTTGAATAACTGTGACTTACGACTAAACATGGCTAAGGTCTTGTACAATAATACAGTTTGAACTTAATGAGCATAAAATAAATCATTATGCAATAACTGCATAAATTGTACCATAAACACAAAAAGACAGTGGATAAACTGCTCAGCGTTCAGAGGAACCTCTGCAGCTTTGTTTCAACATAAAACTTCCCTTTAAGAACAGTCAGGCCACGTCTATGAGCCATGTCCGCATTTATACTGTTTTGAGAAAGGGATTGCACTGACATTTTTTTTTGGAAAGAGGAATGGAGCAAATCTGTATTCAGATTTGTATGGCACAGAAACAGAAGTGCTGAACTCTCTCCTATTTCATGAGCAAGATGCAGATCTTTAACTCTTGCTTCCCCTGGGCATTATTTGCTACACATGACAAACAGGCAGTCTGAGATCATCTAAGGCAGGGGTGTCCAATCTTATCCACAGAGGGCTGGTGTGGCTGCAGGTTTTCACTCAAAACAAGCTGGAGCTCACCTGATTCCACTTGTTTAAAATCAGTTGGTTTCAGTCTTCAAACTGCTGATCAGGTGACCTCTTTTTGTTGGAATGAAAACCTGCAGCCACACCGGCCCTTTTTGGAGAAGATTGGACATCCCTGATCTAAATAATTTGAAATTACTATTCATATACTTTTGAGCCTCTATGCATGAAGGAAATTAAAACAAAACAAAAAAAAAAAACACACACACACACACACACACACACACACACACACACACACAACCCCTGCTAAAGTGCTGCAAGAAACAGTGTCTAAGATAAAGAAACACACAAAACCAAATAAATAAGGAAGCCTAGAGCAAAAAAGAAAAGTGACCATAAAGCAGCTTCTTCCTTTCCATTCCAGGAAGGGGACATTTTCAGATTCTCTTTTTATCTCTTCAATCAAAACAAGGAAAAAACCCCAGTCTCTCTTTTTTCCTCAGAAATAACTAACTGGTCACTTGTAAGCAACGCATAAACTGTCCTGGAAGAGCATGTTTGATAGTTCTCCAGTGAAACCAGTGGAAGGAACTGAAAGCAGCACTTGCTAGGATTTCCCCTCATTCAAATCCAACACATTTATGTGTAAAGAGAGAACTTGTCAAAAACAACACCTCATCCATTCACTCCATTTTGGGCAAACAAACAAACAAACAAAAATAAACAGCATTCTGTGTGTCATTTCCAAAGCAATAAACATAAATCTTGTTTACCACAAGCTGTAAACCATGTCCATGTGTTGCTGTGTACAACTAACTATTTTAATAAACTCTTATTTTTATTGTATTTTTGCCATTTCTGTGAGTTTATGCAACAAACTCATTCATTTATTTTTACATGACCATTTTCAACCTCTCTTTACCCCTTTAGCATTACGAAGGCTGCTTTTGTTGCTATGCCTTTAAGTCTGATATGTAAATGTTTTTCTTTTTTCATTCACTGGCCTGCATTGTGCCTCATTTAAAAAGCAGTCCGGGCTGAAACACTCCTTATATTTTCTGTGTGAATGCACTGGGCTAAACTGTTGAAAGCTGAACAAGCAGACAGATGTAACTGTGTTCGTCTTTGTAATGAATTCAAAACAGGTAGTTTTTGCAATTCACTATCCATATAAGAACTACACAGACTGAAGAATGAAGGGTACATTTTGAAACTTCCAAATTTCCAAAAGGTGTAGAAAATTTAGTTTTCTATTAAATGGCCCTTTAATGCATCGTTGTAATGCACCTTGTACCTTTTATCAAATAGACATGAGACACAGGTTTTGGAGTTAGGTAGCCAGGCTGCTTTGGTTCAGTTAAGAGTTTTTACTTTAACAAAATACCAAAGTCCCACAGACTTCAGTGCTCCTCTCTGAGAAGTTTACCCTGCCCAAGCAAAAATCGGACATGAAAGTCCATGTGATAATGACTTATCAGTTCACTCCGTCTGTTGAGCCGTGATGTGCCCGTGCTCTGGTAGTTTCTCTCTGTGCTGTTTTGTGTGCACAGCAGTGACTCCCCAGCCACATGCCCTTACCATACCGAGCTGGATAAGCATCAACACCGCATTAATACAGCTGGAACGTTCTCACAGCTAGAGAAGCTCCAGAGGGAGAGTGGAGCCTGTTTAAGATTCAGTCATCTCTTTCCATTTCTCACCTTCTACAAGGTGTGCCTCTCATCACAAACTGAGCAATGTCTCCCTCTTGGCAAATCTCTGCCTTGGAACCCTGCTTCCCCCTTTCATCTCTGCTTGCCACTTTAATATTCCTTTAATATTCTCCATGCTATCTACACATGTGCTGTCATTTTGCTGGTAAAACTGGACAATACCAAGATTCTACCGAGCCAAAGCCTCTTAAATGAAATCTGGGAAAAAAAAAAACTGCCGACAGAGCACCAACGTTGTTAAGAAGATTATTAACATTAATAATTATAAGCTTAACATTATAATTTGATGTGGGGAAAAGTGTGATTTTGGAGTATTTTAACATCTCATTTGTCTTATACCAGCCTTTACAAAGAATACTAACAGTAACCAACTGCTTATCTTTATTATAGCAACACAATCTGTAACATGATTAAAATAAAAAACGTGAAATACTCAAAACCTACTTTTTAGCATGAGGATATGTTAGGACAAAACATAGGAAAAGATGTGACTGAACAACAAGAAAAATAAGTGCTAGTAAAGGAACCCAACAAAAATGCTCCACACCCACAATATTTATATCAAAGACTTTTAGTTTCTGCTGTTCGAGTTTAAGAATTTTTGACAATTGTGAATTATTATAGTTGTCAATTCTTCATTATTCTCAATAACATTAGTCAATAAAACTAAGAGGCTTTCATTTTTGACATTATAAATTTGTATTGGTTGATACTGCTGATTATTAAAATTTCTGTATTAGTGACATCTTCATATCAGGTGGGCTCCACCATCTATCTGGTCTCATCACTGGTGTTGCATGCTTACCTGCTGTAAGGTGCTTCCCAGCGAGTTACGGTCCTTCTGGCTAACGCCGTCTCGCTGTAACCTGGCCAGAATCTCCAGCTTCTTGTAGGATCGCAGCGCCAGCAGGTGGACGATGCGGTCCCGGTACGGCCTCTGGGACACCGGGTTGCTGGTAAGGCACTTACGGATGGTGTTGGCTGGGTTCATAGGGGTGGACCGTTTCCGCTCTGGAACTGGGTCAGGGGCGGAGGGAGCTGGCTTTCGGATCTGGGCAATTTTACCTGCACAAATAGAGAAGCAGCTGAGAACAGCGTATACAGACAACCAGAAGCGGCTTTGCATGAGGAGTAGGGTAATCATAATTAGGGATGCTGAGAGTGCCACACTTCTTCCCTTTGATGTTAACATGGTGTGAGTAAGACTCAGAGGGGGTTGCGATGCAGCGTCATTAAGACAAGCTGTCCCCTGGGCAGGTAAGTGTAAGTGCATAAGATGCCACAACATTTCCTCACAGATTTCCTCAGGAAATCATGACATTCTCAAAAAGCTCTTTAAAAGATTAGGAACAGCAACTCCCGTCCTCTCCTTCTCGCTCTGTATCTCTTGAGGAGCTGAGCTTGAGCAGCCAGACCAAGCAAAATGCACATACACGCACACAAAAACCTTTGCTGTCTCAGTGCTTGTCAATCACTTTAATTCCTGACATCAGCGAATAATAAGTTATGTCTAATTGCCTTGAGCTCCACAATGACATGTGGTCACTGCAAAAATGTGAGTGTGAACGTAGTGGTATCTGGTTGATCTCTCCATTCGTTTCACTGTAAGAAAAAAGCCCCACTCAAACCATTTCAGCATTACACTTAATTACTTCTATAGTCTGTTAACGCATCAACTATTTTGGCAACACTTTATTTGGATAGTCCACTTTAGATGCTTTGTAGATACTTAATTTACTTTCAAGTTACATTCAACTACATATCTACTAAATTGGCTACAATTGTCTTTAACTCTAAACCTGCTCTAATCCGATCCCTAAACTTAACCTCAACCCAAAACCTAAACCTAACCCTCACACTAGTCCTAGCCCTAACCCTAAACCTAACCCACACCACTGTGTACAGTTTCAACAGATAGTTTGTAACCAATTTGAACATCTGTAGACAATCTATAGGGGACAACAGTGGACTATCCAAATAAAGTGAGACCACCATTTTTGATTAACTGACTAATAATTATCTAATCCAACAATTAATAACACTAACAAACCAATAATGGCAAAAAAAATGCACATTTGCAGTGCTTTCGTTTACCCCACTTTGACATTTATTTCTGTTGCAAAATTCATGTACTACCATACTTTAGAATCATTTATTTAAAAAAAATAAATAAATAAAAACGAACTCAAACATCAGATAGCTATACACTACCTACCGAATCAGAAGTATGACTGAATATAAGAGAGTCGCAAAGAAAGCTCTAAAAACATCACTGGCTACATTAGTAAACATCAGTGTGTTTATGATTTTATGACAGATTCTATGTGCAAATTGCACAACTTCATCAACCCGAAAGCATCATAAAACCGATTTAATAACGTCCGGCCCACTTTCATCCTCCCTGGAATGCCCAAAAAGGTTCATCTCTTCTATTGGATGTTCTCTTTTCCGTTTACCTTTACTAACTAAATGACTAAACGTAATATTAGGCTGTGTGTTAGAAAACAGAACAATTATTGGAAGAGATGAACATTTTAGTCTCACCCACTGTCAGTGGATACTGACTCACCAGCAGCGGGAGCAAAAAAAATGTACTGAAACTCAAGTGCTTTAGTTTTGTTTGTGCACAAATCTCATACTTCTGTGAAATGCTTCTGCGGCAAAATGCTGCTGCGGCTTACACTACTGTTGTGCTCTGCACGCTGGGACAATTGTGCACCGCGAAAGATTTCTTACGATGCAACAAAACGACAGACATCATACTTGCATGGTGTTAGGCTAAAGAGAGCCACCTGTGTGTAGTATGTGTAGTGTGTATAGAACCATGTGTATAGTGTATTTTAAATATGTCAGAATTAGGGCTGGGCGATAACGATAATTATCGCGATATAACTTTTCCTCGATAGAGCGATACGACATGTTCGATAAATGTTCGATATAATACACCACTCTCACACTCCCACGTTCAGCGAAAGCCTTGGTGGCGTTTTCTACTGCAAGGAAAGCGACACTACTGTGCTGTCGCCAGGAGAGGGCGCACTTCCGAGTCTTTCTACATGATTAGAGAGGGAGGGGGCCACGAGTAAGATGAGTCTTTAGCAATGGCTGAAACACGGAGTTATACATTCCCTGTTTGAGTGGAGCGACAGGCGATCTGTTCTCCTGTGACCGAGTGTGAGTGACGAGGTCAGTGGTGTAACTATACTGTCCTACAGCGAACTCGCCTCTTTCTGTACATCCTAACCAGCTTTAGCAGCGTTAAATCACAATCCTCACAACTACAGCACTGTTACAGCGCTCGGGCAGTCATATTTAAACATTAGTGCATTCCCAAGCAAAGAAAGTGAAAGAAAGAAGTGGGTTCATGCAGTTACGGCCCTGATGTAAACAAAAGTAAACTGAGGAAGCTGTGAGGCATTGGAAAGCGGGAGAGCGCTAGCTTTCCAGGCTAGCTGTTTTTAGCAGCTGGCTAACTTAAAGCAGCGCTTCGTCACTGCACGACACGGCGAATTAATGATACTGTAGATCAAACACGACACAAAAGCACCGCTTTCAGTTTAAACATCCCTAAAAGGAGGACTCTGTTTGTCTGGTGTTGATATTTTGCGGTTCACCCCTTAAACTACTACAATCGAATATCCATTCGTCGCTAGCTGGTGTCTGAATACTGTGATGTCATTTGTAGCGGGGTAGCCGAGCGCGCGGCACCAGCTAAAAATAATCTGTTTTCTTTCTTAAATTATGACTATTACAAAATAGCCATGCTTTTCCAGCTGGTAAAAACAGCTCACCAGACACTTTCTCCCACTCTCCCATGACAGATTTGTGAAATGTTCCACTGTTTGGTGAGCGTTTGTTGTGTTCCGACCATAAAGGCTAGTTTAAAACAGCAATTAATCACCCAGGAGCAAAAATCAGCCTTCAAACTTGAAAGAAATAATGATGACATTTATCGCGATATGTATCGATATCGAACAATATAAATTTTGTTTATCGTGATAACATTTTTGGCCATATCGCCCAGGTCTAGTCAGAATTAAGACATACTATTATACAGAGCTAGTTAAGCGCAGTCAAAATAAAATGAAGACATATTCTTATACATTTCTTAAGGGATGATGGATATTAAATAATGAATACTAGTGTGTTCTTTCCTAAATACATCAACAAAACAATACATAAAAAATTCTGCACCTTTGCTAATTCTCATAATGCCATACTTGACATGTTTACCAATCAGTTTATAGTAAAAGCTTGATTAGAAATGTTGTGCTATGATGAAGTAGTTGATGAGTTGTAAGCTGGGAAACCACTTAAGAAATATTCACGAATGACATATCACTGACTGCCTTGCCTTTGACACACCCTTTCTGACAACAGGCAACGTGATTCCACAGAAATGATTCAATAAACCCAGGCAATATCGTGTCATCTGAAATTCGAGGCTAGTGCACATGTAATCTAGCCATAAGCCTCTGTGTCACAACTGAGTAATAGGATCTCTCTCATCTAGGGGTAAGTGATATGGCAAAAATATATGTTACAAAATTTAGTTTTTCTGAGGTTTCCTAACTATTTACTATCAAAAACGTAGATTTTTATTAAACGTTTCAAACACTGCACTTAATCTATTTAAACAGGCTTAATTATACTCTCTGTAATGAAACATGCAGTTGGTCAGTGTTCTTTAAGTACTGACAATATCCAAGATCTGCTCAGAAAAGAACATTGTGTTATAACTTACCATATTTCCCACCCCTAATCTAACCCATGGCATAGCATCAGAGAGGTCAAGTGCATATTAATTCAAAGAAACAGACTATACTTAGAAATTAAAACAAACCTAGAATAAATAAATTATATATGTCTTTAAAATCAAGAAGAGCGAGTTTGACAGTGATGCCTCAGAGTCAGCTGCTACATCCCCTGACTCAGTCCTTTCACTCCTTTTTGCTCATTTCAACACTTCGCTACTCCATGCAAATGCTCCCCCCAGCAGCTTTAGAACACACACAGAGGCACTGAAACTGACTTTTCTAGTTTACAGCACAGCACTCTGCTGTGGTGGGAAGTGTCAGGCCTAACCTGGGGGCTGGAGCTTCTGGCGAGACAGCACTGGGATGAAATGAGCTCAGTGATCCCTCAAGTTACACACAAAACTCCCTCCAGGGACCTGACACTCTAAAACAAACCATGATGGTAATAAGGAGTTTCAGTACGAAATGAGACTGAGACACAGCATGCTGACATAAGTGCAGTATGGACCTTTTCGGATCTGCAGCCAATCCGCTCTCCTTGATCTTCTATTAGTAAGAAAGCTGTGCTTAGACGCAACAGTGAGCACAGAGAAAAGGAAACCAAAAAAGAAAACAGAAAAGTCGAATGCAAAATTGCCAGTTTCACACGTAACGTTTTCAAAGCAGGTGTTACTGAGTGACGGTGCAAATCCGGTTCACAATCTGAACAGGACTCAACGTGCTCAATTTTATACAGCATGCATCAGCGTTCATGATAGCAAACATCAGTGTCTATGCAGTAGTGGTGATCCATCATATGCACCATGGTGTCAGGCTAATCCAACCTGGATTACGTGGATTAACTCTTACTTTCCTCCTTCCCTGACCCTAATTCACATTATTGCTACCTTGCTTTGGTTTTTCATTTGTGGTTATGCATGCACAGTGCAGACAAAAGGACTTGCATGGTGTTGGGCCAAAAAGAGCCACCTACCTCTGAACTGCCCTCCTGGTTTGATGACCTTGGTGCCCCTCATGCGTGTGTCCTCTTCTGCCTGCGTCATACGCTCTTTGGTCATCTGGTAGGAGTCGTTGGTGGCACGCACTGTGATTTTGTCCTGAATCGTCCCCAGAGATGACAAATTGGAGACCCCAGAGCTAGAGTGGGAAGACAGCGGCTTGAGAGACAGAATGCTTACATTGCTTTAATTTAACAAAGTTGAAAAGAAGTTTTAAACTTTTGACAAAAGTGACACTGCATCTTACCTTGACACATACTGTTTGATGCACTCAAAGCTTCCCTGAGGATTGTCCTTGCCGACATTGGACAGGTAAAAATCAAAGGTATGAGATCCATCCGAGACATCCGTCTTTGGAATCTTAATGCACTGCAGGGTTGCAAACAGGACAGGATAAACTCAACTGACAATGTTCACAAAACCTTACATGTTTGACAAGACAAGAAGGACCCTGAAAAACTGAGAAACTGAATGTGTGTTTCTAAAACTGGTCCCTGATTGGGATGGGCAAGGGTAATCGACTTACTGTAGAATCATTATGTGACACGTATGCTGCGCTTTCATTTTCATTTGAAACACGACAAACATCCGTGACTCAGCCATTCTAGAAAACTGGCTAATGTTAGCATGGTTTGCACATCGCTTTATCTGCACTTATTTTTGGCAGACCGGTATATCGCCCTACACGAGATTAGTCTCGAAATGCCCATTGCTAGTCCCTCATGCAGCTACATCAGTGTCAATTATAGGCAGACTGTGATACAGCAGCACTAGGCTTGTGAATCTACATGTGCAAGAATCAGAGCCTGAGCCTAGCTGCATAAGCGCTGCAGAATATTAATAGCCTCAGTGCACGCACGGTGTGCAAGGTCAGAGGTTAACCAGCCATTTTTACAGATGAACTGAGAGCTGACGAGCCTCAGAATAGCCCCTCAAGCCAAAAGCACCCTACTCAACGACAGGACCACCATTAAGAGAGCACTCTGACAGACAAGCACACTTCTGCCCTGGAAATAAACTGGGTCGTAGTTGGACTGCTCGTGCAATTCTACTGTCAGTACACTACTGTCAGTTTTTCCTTTAGTCCGTTTCTTGGCCTGAATCGTTCACCTACCCCTTGAAGTCCTTGGAAGTGTATTGTTGGCCGTGAGGACGGTACATTCTGTAAGACAAAAAAAGAGAAAAAAAGCCAAAGTAAACATCACGAATGAACAGTTAAGCAACCAAAAACAGACCTTCCCTCTTAGCTCTACTAATGACCTCATATGAAAGCTGAATAAACTAAAGCAATTTTAGAAAGGCAGAGGAAGGAAGATTTCTGAGTCATCTCAGCTCAAGATTTCAAAACTCTTTTTACTGGATAGATCCAGAGAAGGCTGGAAAATAAGAAACACTGGATTTAAACAGCAGCCCAAAGCTTATAACAACATTTTTGGCAATAAATAACAATTTTACACCAAAAAAAGAATAACAATACAGTAGTAAGAATTCAAAAATATGTTTATATTATAAAATTTGACAATTAAATTTGTTAAGTTAATTTGCACCACAGATGGTAATCAGACCAGATCTTTAATCTCATAAGACATATTAGTGACTTGTGTGTTTATATTTTTAAGTGAGAAGACATTGTTTGTTAAGACATCGAGCCCCACATGTACAAAATGTACCTATTTAAAAACAATGCTGGTTGTGTGCACAGCAATATTTATGAAGGACACTCAGTCACTCATACAGGACAGAAACTGTGACTCTTTGGTGTCCACAACTAGAAACATTTGTTTGTCCTGTGAAAACAGGACTAAAACTGGATGAAATATCTGCACAGATCCAAAAACTAGGATCTGGTTATTAGCCTATATGATTAGCCGTACTAATTCCCTACATGTGCTTTTAACTAAAGACTCGAGCTTGGAGCAAAGTCTCTAAATTGAACCATGAAGTTTCCATTGCTGCGGAGTAAAATAAACAGAGGCTATTTTTAACTTGATTGCAGCACAGGAACACCAGAACAGCATATAAATGGTTCAACCTGTCAAAGCTTAAACAGCTACAAAACTCAAATCTCTAGTGTGCTGATTATTTCTTGCTAAAATGTTTAGAATCTGGGGAAAAGCATGACTGACTGCAAAGCTAGCAATGCAAAAAATATTTATTCCTCCCTCTTTCGCTCTCGCTTATGCACAAACGGCACTAGCCAGTGTCCTCACTTATATTCAAATGACCGTATGGAGACTTTTTCTCTGCAGAGGCTTGTACAACCAGATCAGTTTCACATTCCCCAACCCCCAAACACTCTCTTACTCCACACACATCCACACAGCGCTGATCACATTACAGAGTAGCAGGGAGAACCAGGCCCAGACAGCTCTCTCATGACTGCTAAATCACCACATAAGACCAAGGAGAATTTGAGAGAGACACAGACAGCAAAGACAGCCAGCGCAGGTCTAAAAGGACCTACAACCTCAGCCTGAACAAGCTAGGCAGCCTAGTGTATATTGAAAATAAATCCCTCTCCCTTTTCTCACACAATGTTTGAAGCTTAAAACGGACCAAAACACATTATAGGCCTACAGTGCTGTCATGCAAACATGAAGGAGGAGTTGACTCAGCACTCACTCGCTTAGGCTGCCCCTGCTGTTCTCGTCGTCTCCCCAGAGAGATTAGTAATAATTAACAAATGGTCTACATTGGAAAGAAGCAGTAAAAGAGAGTAGGCTACCCTGAGATCCCTTGTAAAGACAAAACAGCAGTCACAGAACTTCAATCAGGACATTTACAATATCATTAAGGGTTCACTGATAAGGGAATCGCAAATGCCTGGAATAATATTATAGAAAAGTATGAATGTATTTATACAGGATTAAAAATGCAGTAAAATGAATAAGATGCAGATATTTTAGTATAGTAGCCCAGAGTCACCCAAGTGTTCTGTGCTTCCGGAGGGGGAAAAAACACACAAATGCTTCATCAAATACTGGTTTGAATTACTGGTCAGTCAAATGCTGATCATTTTTAAGTGACTGTCTACCAACACGATTCAGATATCATTGTGCATCACTAAATACCATACTGCCAAATAGAGAGCTAGACGCGAGTTAAACATAGGCTACTAGGGACTACGTGCCACATTTCCCTTCCAAAAGGAATGCACACATTCCAGTGCACATTCACAGCAAACTAAGCCTACCGCCAGCTCAATATGCAACCCTGCCAAATTCATATCAAACACCTACTGTTTCCAACCCATAAGGCAGGACGGAGCAGTCCTACATACTCTGGGAGTTCGGCCACCAACTTTAAACCTCAGAATATGTATGTGCTAGACTTGAAATTATACTGCAGGCAGGAGCATTTTCAATGGCCCAATTTATCTTTAGTAGATGTTTAACCTTTTGTGAACTCTGTCATATTTAGTGTTTAAACCCAGCTCACTTCCGAGAGTGTTTAAAGGTAAGCAAACCTCAGCCACCCAACTGAGAGATGAGTGTTTAGTTTGACAACCAAGGCCTTGTTCAACTGGCTGACCCCAGTGGGACACTGTAAAATGTTTAGCATCTGAGAAAAGCAGTCAGCCAAACTACCGCTCACAAGACCAAAAAACTACACACCTAAAAAAGATGGTTCTTTAAGAGACCTTAGTAAATAAAATAGAACCATGAGTTCTATATGAAACTATGTTGTGCTTAAATGCCAAGTAACAACAGAAGAACCCTTTTTAGTGTGATATAGAAACATTTTCAAAAAGATTCTACATAAAACCAACATACAACACTGAAGAACCACTTCACTATGCAAAGAACCATCTGAGCACGGACTGGTTCTATACAGAACTCATGGTTCTAAATGAACCATTGTCTTTACTAAAGAACCATCTTTTTTTTACATACACAGTTACCAAAGTACTGAGGCCAAGCTATTTTAAAGTCAAACGGACTGACTTATTTGAGTTCAGTTGAATTTTAAAACTTGCTCTCACTTGGTTTGAGATTTAGAGACACGCCAACTAGTTTAGCCAAAGGTAAAGTTCATAAGGTTCCCAAATAGAAGTGCAGAACTTGCATGACTTCTGTTAAAAGACCAATAAAGCATAGTTAATGATGCCTTCTTTTCTAGCGTGTGTGGACGTGTGTCCTGAATGGAGAATGTATAGAAATCATGGGTTAAGTGGTTTCAGGCTCGAATGACATTTCTCACTAGCTGAACTCCAGAGCAGGTTTTAGAAAAGGCCTGCTGTAGCTTTAAGTCAAACAGTGCCTCGTAAGCACTTTGACCAGTGTAGCGCTTTAAAAATTCAGACAATGCAACTCTTCATTGAGGCCACCTAATTTCTCCCCCGTTAAGCCACCGTCCACCCATTGTGTTCGCTATTGAGCGTATAGAAACGGCGAGAAAGGATTCGTGTAAACTTCGCTTCGCATGTGTGACCGGAATATATGAGATTTAGTAAGCTAACGACCTGTTCAGCTTCCTCTTCGCTTTAACAGACAAGCCACAGGAATCTATGGCCACATACTGGTGTCTTTGCACTGTGAGGCTGTGCTGAAGCTGAGCTCAGCTTCTTATTAGAATGTTCGGGTTCCACCTTAAATGGTGCGGCATGTAACTGCAACATTTAAGATGGAACGGAAAAAATCGAACAAGAAGCTTGGCGAATAGGATTGTCTTTTTACGTGCACCCCATGTTTGCTGCAGTGACACCGAAATTTACCACTTAAGAATCAATAAAGAACTTCTCTTTCTATCTAACCCAGGTTTCATGGCTTTTACACAGAAACTGAGCGTGCAAATTTAGCTACAGCCAGCTAACTGAACTCCATTCCACCCCACATCACCAACTTTGCAAACGATGTGCCTCACTGCCAGCTTTAAAAGTCACATTTAGGTTATTTATCTAAGATATTTCGCTAGTTTGCTCGTTGATGGTCAGCATTAGATAAAACTGGTTTAGTCTGGCTCTCATGTAGTAATAGGTTGTCCAGCTAACGTTAGCTTGCTACCTCACAGTTTTGACGATGGGTAAACTCGGAAGAAAAACTCCCCAAATTAATAACATTTCCAGCTAAAAGTTAGATAAGCCGATGTGCTATTATGCTACCGAGTTGGTCGGTTTGCAAATAAATTAATTTCCTCGCGTCAGGCAGGAGGAAACAGTTAGGCAGGCTAGGCTAGGTACCGCTAGCAAATCATTTAGAGTTAGCTAGCTTAGCTTTCAACTGCCAAGTTGGGAAGAATAAAGTGAAGTTGGACAGCAGCCAAGCTCGGGCTTTGTCTTTATATTTAGAAACGCTGCTGTCTGGGTCTGTATGCAAAACCATTCAGAAGACACAAACCCTAACCTGGCAGGTGTTTACAGTGATAAAACTGGATTAGGTTAGGTGGCTGATGTTTTCAGAAACATAGCAAACATTTAGCTAGCTAGCGTTCGTTTACTTTACCAACGCTAGCGCACTGTTAGCTATCTCTGAGCTAAGGGTATCACGCCAATTTGATACCACAGACCATTAACAGACTTCCCCCCGATACTCTCCCTCTTTTCAAATCCCTGGGCATTAGCTTAGTACAACGTTATGCCATTTTATGTCCATTCTTTAGCCGGAAGTCAAGTTAGCAGCGAGTAGCTGGCTGAACGCTAGCTTAGCTGACTGCAGTCAGAATGCTGGCTAGCTAGCAAACTAAGTTGACAAACAGCTGACAAAGTTATCCCCCTAATTTGACAACCCTGTATATAGTTTACACGTAATGTAGCTGACTGAATATATAAGACACAGGTCACCTAGCTAACCAATTAACCTAATAACTAACATTACAACAGGCACAGCTCGCTAATATTAGGATTGCAGAGCTGGCAATTCAGTGTTGACTTAACGCTGCTGGCTGGACTTTTCCAGTCCAGTCATCCATCGTTTTCTTAAACTCATACATGTTTTCAAAAATGACAACAGTGTAGATTCAATAGCACGTCGTTCTGTTTGTTATCTTACTATTTTATTCGTAATTTATTCGTCATTTGGACTTACTAGCTGTGCGTTGGTGCGTGGCACTGCTGTCTCCTCTCTCTCTTGTGAAAAGTTTATTGATACACATAACCTGTACGTATTTTGTTTTCCATTCAGCTTACCTTACAGTTTTGGTAGTTTTCTAGCGCTCGTATGGCTGTCTCTGTCAGTTTTACATGCAAAACGGTGATCCTGTCGGCATTCCGGCCACAATTTAGTCCATACCTCCCATCCTCAGAGAGAGCGGCCATCTTTACCAGTCTGCCACCATAGTCCCTCTGTCTGAGGCGCATATAGAGACCCAGCGTTTCTCTTCATCCGCGGAGGGAGGAGCTGGCCTGAGTCGGTTTTCTACCCCTGTTCTTCCCTACAGCCAAAACCATTTCTGTTAGTCTGCTATGGCGAGGAAGTAGAACTGCTCATCACAGCGACCATCGGTTCTCAAATAATTTAAAACAGTTCTGAATTAACCTCATCGGTTTACGCCACAGTCATGCGTCATTGCGACTTCACAATGACGACACGAAGAAATGGAACTCGGTGATGTAAAAAATTCTCTGTGATCATCAGTTTACCTCATACTACGCTTACAAAGGTGTCATATATGAGTGTAGATTGGTGATATTAAAACTACTTTAATTGTCCTCATCATTTTGCCATCTTTATAGCCAGTTCACAGTGACGCCACCCACAACTGTAATTGAAGTGTTTGTTAACTGTAATTATTTTGTACTCAGAACTTTCCCTGATAGTTCCTGCGTTATTGCCCAATCATAATTAATATGGGCAGTATGACAATATTCATCATCATTGTGATAAACTATGTCACAATATGCTTCTTTGAGTATGTTGTGGACATCATCAGTACTTAAAAAAACACTGAGCAGCTACATATTTCATTACAAAGAGAGCATAATTAGTGCTGTTTAATTAGAATTATTGCAGTGCAGTATGCAAAATGTTCAATACAAATCATTATTCATCGTTTTGACAGGCTTTTTTGGTTCTTTTTTCTTGAAATTTGTTTGTTCTTGAAGTATTGTGATATTATATTTTTTTCCATATCGCCCGGCTCTAATTTTGACCATACTGTGGTGTAGCTGAGCCTGGTTGCGTATTGTGCAGCTAATCTGCACAGTAATCAGCCCTCTGACTACCTGTTATGCTGGTAAACAAATATCTCAGGTTTTTTTTTTAGAGGAAATGGAAGTGTTGCATAAGTCTGGTGGTTCTATAACACATTTTTAAAATTTTAATATAGCACATTATTTGGTGTTTGTCCATGTTTAGTGGCAAAATAAATCCCCATTGACTCTAGCTTTTCTAGCTCTGTGGCTAAACACCAAATATTCAGTCTTATGCTGTATATGTGCGCTGCCAATAACAAGAAATTCCATTGTTCAGCTATGCGTCCGAGTCAGGCCTCTATTTCACCAACCCAACGACATTATTATTGAGTTTTGTCCTCATCAGTTTATCTCATAGCTATTGTGTTATAGCCTAGGACTTGTAATTTAAAAGCCCTGACTTTGTCCTCAGCTGTGTTCCTGTAGAAGTGGGTGCTGTGTTCTTAGCAATACAGTAGTTAACATAGACCAGTGTTTCTCCACCTTGGTCCTGAAGGCCCACTGTCCTGCATATTTTAGTATTTTAGTATTTTCCTTGCTTTAACACACTCACTTCAACTCAGTAAGGGCTTGTTAATGAGCTGATTCGTTGGATCAGGTGTGTGGGGAGCAGGGAAAATGCTAAAAAGTGCAGGCCAGTAGGGCCTCCAGGACCAGAGTGGAGAAACACTGACAAAGACTACAACTGAACAATAGTAAGGATAGTTAATAAAGCAGTAATTGATGTTGATTTTGTCAATATTGCTATGAGGATGTGTCTGAAAGGTCTGTAATAGGTAGGCAATATGAGCAAATTAAACATCCCTATATGAGACCTCCTACTGAGTAATTATCTGTAGCAAACACTACACCTATTTCAAATATTTGCTTCCTCGTACTAGTCAGGTGCAGAATGCAGCGGCATGCTACTCTAAGAGTAAAGTAAGGGCTGTTTTTCAGGCTTTTGCACTTCAGAACAGAAGGTAAGACCCTTGGGGCATTTTATACACTCATGCACACCTGCACTATCTCATGCAGTCAGTCCTGGCAGCAGTGTGATTATGTGGAGTGTTTGGTGTGGTGCACTGAATGGTCCAAGACTGGGCGTGGGGAAGCTTGTGTGAATCCACCAGATTAGGCCCTGCCTAAATAAAAGCCTGCCACACCTTTAGCTTAAAACTTGGTGTTTAATGTTACTGTGTATGCACATATGAGGAAGCATATAAAAACAAATGTATGTACAGTATGTACAGTATGTATGCACAGCCTGAGACATAACTGAGAAAGAATAATAGGATTAGGCCCTTCTACATGTGTTTCAGCAAGATGAATGCTAGATTAACAAACAAAGCAGCTCCGAAGCCCCAGCATACCTCTAACATTACAGTGTGCTAAATCACTCCCCACTTTTTGTTATAAACACATTTGCTTTATTCACAGATGGTTCTGTTGTGCTGTGCTGTTTTCATTGCAATGACTGATACTGGTCGAGTGAACACGGTAAAGAAAAGTGAATGATATTTACATGCTAATAAAGAAAAGTGATCAGTTTTGGTTTAAATCCTGTTATTACAAACATCCTGAAGACTAAAACAGGATATTAGCTTTTGGTGTCTTTGTATAGGCCTCTGTTGTTGTACGCAGACCTGGCCAGAAATATTTGGATTGAAGGTTTAGTATCCACCCTTTACATTATAGTGGAAAACTGCGAAGCCACTTTGATTAGTTCTTGTCTCTCTTTTCATGTTAATGACGGATCCTCCCTAAACATCTGTCAAGAGAACAATGGCTAAAGACCGAGATGATTCAAACATGTTTGAGCCATTACGTCTGATTACATTTCCTCTCTTCAGCTCCTCCTTTTTGTTGGCACAAGTGCTCATTGTGGTGAATCGTTAGTGCAGAGGAGTGCTGCAGCTAAACCCTGTGCGGCTGCCCTGCCTATAACAAAGCCTGCCTGCTGGGGGATACAATACAGAATGGATTGGATCTTACCAACTCATTTAGCGCCTATTGTTTGAAATGAGCTGCAATAGCTCAGTAGACTCAGCAGACAAGATTCCATGTGTACTGTAAACATCAAGTCACCTGTAAAGTTTTTTTTATGATTTAAAGGGGAATTCCACCATTTTTTTCAAAATGAAAGCTTAATTCACTCATTGAGATGTAAACAAGATCATTCAGAGTGGTTTAATGTGAAATGATGTGTAGTAGGGAAACTTTTCAACTTCTTTTAGGTGATAGGAGCCAGGGGTCATGATGTCAACACAAATATAGCCATTGTATTTGCTATACAAAATGACCAGTGAGTTTTTCATGTAATGATCATGGTAAAATGGTGATGAATGTATCTAAAGTTTTTTGAATGTCCTGCATTTATCTTTACGCCAAAAATGGATTTTACGTTTTGCACTAAAGCTTATCACAAAACTATTGTAAAGCAAAAACTCAGACATCAGATGGCGTATTCATAACCATTTCATGTAATAGCTTTCGTTGAGGGACCTTCTAAAGGCATTAAATGCTTTAGATGTCTGGTTCATATCATCATGTGTGAACAATTCTGACTCTAAGTTTCTCTAGAACAGAGTATTTCACATCCGTGTTGGTTTATGTACTTTATTGATCCTACAAGGGTCAATAAATTCTACCGCAGACCACGCTGAATGACTTTTTTTTTACATTTTTACTATTGAATTATATGCAGACATTTGTAATTTTTTGTTGTTCTGTCTTTGAGATGGTGGCTTGAAAGTACACGGTATATGTCTCAACTCATATTATAGTACTAATGTATGTTTCTCTCCGGTTTATTGACAAATTTAGCCTTGCATGCATGCTACTGGGGTGAAGTTCAAATATTTCCTGTTTCTAAAGCTGTTAGAAACGTGAGGCCCGAACCTCAGTATGGTGTGGGACTGTGACATGTGTCATTAGTTTGGCCACCAGTAGTAAAGAACGTGAGAGGGAACCACCTGGTATAAAAAAAAAGTGATGGGGAAATGGAGGAGAGGTAGGAAAAATGTATAAAAATAGATTCAGATAGCCCCGGTGACACATGGTGGCAAAACAAACAATATCAATGTTTTACAGCCCTCCTAGTGGATACCAGCAATGCATAAAATCTGTTGGATGCAAGACAGATGAATCTGCCACTCTAATTCAGTGCATACACAGTACACTGTGGATGCTGTTTACAGACTGCACAATGAATCTAAACACATCCCACTGAGCTGTATGTCAGCCCGGCTCTCGATGGAGTCAAGATGAGCTGGGCACACTTAGTTAAGGGGACACGTGAGGAGCAGCTACCAGTGTGTCCTTCCCCTGCCCTTTCCTAGGATTTAAAAGCCTTGGAACAACAGGCCTGGTTAATGTTTGACCAGCACAGCCAGTCAAAGTGGGTACCAACTGCGTCGAGCCCTTATCACACAAAAACACAAATGTTTGAGCCATATCTCTTTAGCAGCCACAGACGGTGCAGCTGGTCCCTTGTTTAACGAGAGAGAGAGCCAGGTCAGTTCTTTCCTGTTTAAAAGGAAAGATACACTTAGGCTCATGATTGGATTTCATTCCGATAACATTATAATGGAAAAGAACTGAATTAAATGTCAAGGCGTAAGAAAATGTTTATTTTAGTGTTATTGGATGTCTTTGCAGTGCCTCTGACAGATATTGGTGAATGAAACAGCGCATAAAATTCAAAAACTTCTGTACTTTCACACAGAAAAATAATCTTTTATACATTGATGCTACAAATTTGAAGCATAATGTCATCTTACACTTATCAAATAATGTAACATCAACATTCTAATTGATCTGTCCATGCTCCACCCACAAATAAGGTCTTTTATAGAACAAGCTGTACAGTGTGTTGGCAAAAATCCCATTCAACCTAATGAGAACTTGTCACTAATGTAAAGTTTCCAGTTTAAAATGCTACCAAACAGGCAGATAAAAGCAGAAAGGTTGAGAACGACGACAATGAATTTGTCACCATGCTAACGTTAAAAAATTTACACTTGATCTTTCCAAAGAATGTGACGTTTAATATGCATACAGAATAGTGTCAATTTATTTGCAAGTAACGCACAGAAGAATGTTTGGTGCGTCAGACTCCTCCCTGAGTGGATGACTCTGATGATTACATGCGTACTGAAAGAGAATTCAAAGAGAACTCAAAGAGAAATAGAAACTTGATGAACAATGTCTTGCGAGGATGTAAGTGAATTATCTACTTTTGTCATCACATCTTTATCAGTATAGTGTTGATTCTAAATTTGGGACCTAAACATCAAGCTGGACCTTCTTTAGCCTGTGCGTGTGACGTTGATATGTAAAGACGTATGGCCCGGTCCCAGAAAATAATAAAAAGAATAATAATAAGTTACATTTATATAGCGCCTTTCATGATCCAAAGGTCGCTTTACATAACAAAGGTATAAAAATCCTGTGAAATCCAACATGTCTCTTTATAATAATTATTTTTTATTTATAATTTATTAATGATTTTATTTATTAGGCTTTACAGGACGACTCGCAGTAGCGCATGAACACCATATTTTATCGTGTCTTTTAGCAGTAACTCAGATACTTCTGTCTACGGACATCCCGTATAAATTCAAATAATGCATGGCCACGACTTAGTAAGGCATGGGATGAGATCCTAATGTGTGGCCATGACTTAGTAAGGCATGGGAATGAGATCATTAAGTTGTGGCCATGACTTAGTAAGTGATGACGAGATCATGCCTTGCTAAGTTGTGGCCATGACTTTATTATCTTTTTCCCATGCCTTACTAAGTCGTGGCCACACATTATTTTTATTTATACAGGATGTCACCAGCAGGGCTCCATATCTTTCAAATTATAACAAGAAAATATTCATCGGAGCTTTAATGTGAGTGATACAGTTTCTCATTATGTTGATTTTTGTTTTTTTTCTTTTTTTGCTGCTGTTCTGTAATGTTTGTCAACCATTTTTGGGTGGAGTATAGAAAGGTCATTTCTCTCTACTCCACCGCCATCTTCTTTTCTCTTCAGCAAGCATCTGTATTCACCTTCACATTGCCTTTGGATAATCACTTTCTGCTTACAGAATGAATCCTTTTTGTGGGTACTTCAGGGACTTGGGGCGACTCCCACCAGCTGTATTCTGGGGAGAGAACGCAGGTAGGCCTACGGTTAACCAAGTAGCGGTTCAGGTAGCTCTCCTCGAGCTCCTGGGCTGTAATGTCCCTCTCTTGGTCCTGTAGAATGAGTAAAGAGCAGGCCCGGGTCATGGCTAACACCTCTGAGCACAGGCCGCCATAGAACTCGGAAGTGTAGTAATAGTCACCTTCGCCGTCAGCTACATAAGCCATCGAGTCTGGGTCGTTCTCGTAGGGATAATAATGTCGAGGCTTTCCATAGAATACTGGGTGTAGGGTGGCAGTCAGCTTGCCCAAGATTTCTGAACCCACTGTGTTTGTGAACTCCTGGTCAGCGTCAATGCAGTACACATAGTCCACTTCCAAATGAATCCGCTCACCAATGATGGATGCCAGCAGTGCCATGCGCCGCAGACCTAGCCTATCCCAGCCCGGCATTTCAGCCACAGGGATGACCTTCAGCTGCCTGTTGGGCCCCAGTTTTGGAGGAGGGTCCAGTTCTCTTGGACGGTCAGTTAGGACGTAGTAGGTGACGTAGAGGTTGAGAAGGAAGTGAAGCTCAGCAGAAGAAATGAGGCGGTGAAGGAAGTAGTTATAGTTCCCCACGGCCAGGATGGCCAACCCAGTGCGGACGTTGTGATGGGCAAACTCGTCCCTACGCCAGGCTGAGGACTCGCTGTCCCCCCACACCAGAGGAGCACCCCAAGGAGTCTTCACAGGAAGCTCTTCACCTTCCAAAGCTGGTTCTCTTCTCTCCACTTCTGACAGCAAAAGTGTGGAAACTGCAGCTAACCTCTTCCCCTTCAAAAAGTCTGGAAAACACATGGTTAGCAGCATTTTCCTTTCAGTAGTAACATTATAACATAAACTTTATTTGTCCCATAGGGCAGTTTAAATGGCAAGCATAAAACAAAGTACATTCAACAACACTTCATGACAAAAAACATAACACGTAATCCTTTACTACGTTTCTGACTTTTTTCAAAAGCACAAACCAGATAGTATACTCTTAAAAATGGTTCTTCAAGGCTCCTTTAGTAAAGAAAATGGTTCTTTGTAGAAGTATGAACACTCAAACATAGCATATGAATGCATAAATGGTTCTAAGCATGGTCAAAAGGCTTCTCTCCTTGATAGAATACCAGTTGTATATGGTTCTTTACAGAGCCCTTTAAAATTCTAGTATTCAAGAATGAGTCATATAACCCTTTTTCAGTACTATAGAACCCTTTTCGCTAAGTGTGGCTTTAAAAGGCTTTAAAACATGCAAAAATTCAGGTGTAACTGTGTTCAAATCTGTTGGAGTTACTCTGTGAGTGAATATTTTGCTCTAGGAATAATTCAGCTTCTCTCAGAGTGTGACTGAGGCATGCAGCGATACAACTAGTGTAAGGGAGCTTGGGGCCTTGAGCTGAAAGCAAGCTGAAACACGAACAGGATTCTGCACTTACAGATCAGTCCGGAGAGAACGCACACACACAGCACAAGCAGCCGCCTCCGATTTGCACAGTGAACACCTGTCGAATAGACATTGAAAAACGCTTGTATGCAATACCATGCATGTGGTGTTTACTGTGGGAATCTCAGTATAAGAATTATAGTACTTATAGGTGCACTCTGGCTAAAAAGCACAAATTTAACCACTACATTATAAAATTATAAAAACATATATAAAAACATTATTATATATAAAAAATGCAACTTGCCTCCTACATCAGTCTCACAGTAGTGTCTAGAGTGAGATTTTCTAGTTTAAAGACTAGAAAAAACCTCAGGGGTGCAAATCTGGTCTGAGGCTGGGACCAAGGCTAAAGTCTACATACAGCATAAAAGTAGGTAAAAAATGTCACCTGCAGATAGTTATCAAATTGCCATATAATGTGTATGTGTATAATGTCATACATTTTCTGATGCATATTTATCATCAGATTTTATTTTTGTTACATTTTTTGTCGCTGAAATTCAATTAAATCTTCTAACTGGCTTTTATTGATAATTATTCTAGAAAAAAAATCTTTGATAATGACAAATGTGAGTAGAAGAAGAGGGCAATGCAAGGGACATGCAAGACTCAACACAGAGTAAACAGAGGGGGCTTAATCTATAAAAACAGTAGACAGTAGAGCTACACAGTTCTCAAACCTTTTGAGACGTGACCCACCAAAAAAACAAACAAACAAACAAAAAAAAAAAACACACGGAACTTGTTGTTGAAGTGGGAGATGAAAAAAATCACTCTCAAAAACGTCATCTGTAATATAGGCTATGTATATTTTGACAGTCATCCTCTGCACCCCATAACCTTGAACCTATACATTGTATAATTACAGAAAATTCTCTCCTTGCACTTTGCACAAGCGCCCCTTCTGATGATGTGTCTTGAAGGTTGGAGGAACTTTTGAAAATTTACAGTTGCATTGGTGTTGGTCATTTGAGGGCAGCTCTTTAAAACCTTTTTTAGCTGGCTAATACAGAAGCCAGACTTCTAACTTTACAGCTAGGAAGCTGAATAAGACATTTGTATTTATTGGCCTCTGTCAGCAGCCACAATAGTTGTCAGGAGTTGTTTATAGCAGGTGGGAGGGGGGTTAGTTAGAGAACAATGATGGACGCTAGTTTTAGGCCAGAAGGTGGTTTTCTCTGCCACCAAGTTTGCTTCTTTAGTTTTTCACTGATGCTACAATGCAAATGTAGTTGATGAAGTTGTTGAAAAAAAGATGATTAGAAACCATTAGGATTAAAACCTCATGATTTTGTATTGGCTTAATTATTTCCAATAGAGACCACTAGTTTACTGTAGAATACCGTTAGATCCCATTAGGAAACCGCTGAATGCATTTAGAGTCAGCAATTGGTCAAACCATTAGGATCTTTTACATTGTGATATCAACCCATTAAGAAAAACAACAAAACACGTTACAAAATCATTAGGAACCAACATAAACACTTAATGGTTTCTATGGAGTTTTTCAACAGGGATGTAAGAATAGCATACAGACATTGGTTAATTAGTTACAGGATGTATTACTAAATCATCATATACTTGCTTCAACATGTCCAGTTGTGGTTCCATAGTGAATCAGCAACCACATACGCAAGTCTAGGTTACATTCAGGTAAAAGTGACCCAAATCTGATCTTTTTCTTCATATGTCATATGTTTTTGTGTGTGTGTGTGTTTGTTTGTGTGTGTGTGTGTGTGTGTGTGAACAGGAAAACACACTGAATCTGATGTGTTCGATTCCGATTTGGGCCACTTTGGCTACGTTCACATTACAGACATCGTGGCTCAAATCTGATTTTTTGTTCACATTCAACTTCTCTAACATGATGGTTGACATTCTAATAATGTGAAAAAACAGGCGTCCAGTATCCTCCTAATACTCCCACAAACTCCTAATCAGCGATGTCACTTGAATGAATCACACGCATCATGAACAACAAACAAACTAACCCGCAGAACAAGCCTGCGCTGTGAAGATGACCAGCTCTGAACAGCGCTCAGCTCTTCATTATAAGAGTGACATGAAGATGTAAAAGTGTCAGATGTGCTGCTTTTCCACTGTTTCCTGGCACTGACTTCAGGTTGGAGCTGCTGCCACGTTAAAGCTGAATGATGGCGCACGCGCAGTAGAAAAAATCTGATAAATTCCAATCTGAGCATTTTCATTGGCTGTGTTCAGACTGACAGCCCAAATCTGATTTTTGGCACATCCAGATTTTTGATAGTCTGGACAGCAAAAAACACATAAAATCCTATTTTTGCAAATCAGATCCAAACCACATTTGGAGGAGGTCTGAAATACGATATGAAGGGACTGCCCATATGGAAAAAAATGTATGGACATATATTTTTCTATATATGAAGTACATGTCAAATACATCGCAGTCCAGGCTGAAATACATTCCAAACACTAAAATGTGTTTCAGAACATATTGCCATATTGACCAAATATATATTAAAACACATTTGTTTTAAAATGTGTGGGGAAATATTACACCTAGAAATCCACCATATAAAAATGTATGTAAATATATTTATCAAGAACATTTGAAAATGTATAAAGTTTAGCCAATATATTGTCTAATGCACTTTACTGTTTGGAATACCTTTTGAAATTAATATGTATTCCACTATCTTAATTTAAAACACTAGCCAGTGAACCGTTAATATGGCAAAAGCAAGTCCTGTGAAAATGCAGTCCAATGATTTGATATACTGTTTATTGGAAATACATTTATACATACATCTTACTGCATACGCACAATGATTAATGCAAAGTTCAATGTAATACACAGATAGTTATATCTGTAAACTCTGCTGAAACTACATACAATTGGATGTATGTAATACATCGTAAAATATAATAATAAATACAAATAAATGCATTTTAAATATATATTTAACAAATACTTTTTTGGCCATTTTCACACATTGCAAAAATATATTTGATAAATACTTTCGGATTTTTCCATTTGCATTACCATTCTGTACTTGTTTAGCTTCCACGATTAGAAAAAGCTCAAAAATCGATCATTTTTTCTGTAAACTTTGTCGTTCTACTCTTTGTCTTTCAAGTTTGCACATGTTAACTGGTGACTACAAGCTTCCATTATGTTTGTTAGCTATGTTAGCCATGTAGCTCCAGTTCAAAACTAAAGAAGCAAACTTCTGACACCAAAGATGTTTAGGTTGATCAACTACGTTTGGGGTAAGGAGACAATTTCCTCATGTACAGTGCTGCACATTTTCAGCTCATAACCGTAAATCACATCTCATAATGTCACATAAGAAATTGAATGAATTAATCTGCAGCATGTTGAACTTTTATTGAACTGAAAACTTCTACGTCTCTGTGTTTTGTCCAAAAGCAGACAGTTTGCTAAACTCTGCTACAATCCCTCCAGCATTTTCATGTGAAAATGAGAAAAATGATGCACGCTTAAAAGATTCGCCACAAGACGGTCAATAATAGAAAGTCTAATCTGGTTATGGCCGTCTCAGCATGTTTTCATAGCATCTGAAGAAAGAGCCTGCTACCCCAAAGGCAGGAGGGAACCACAGGCTACTGAAACGTTCTGAAGATTGCAGAAAAATGCAAAACATGGACGATTAAGTGATGTTTCTAAAAAGGAGGATCAACATGGAGTAAGCAGGGAAGCCAAGGAAAGAGTGAAAGAGAGAAAGCAAGAGAAGGACAGAGAGAGAAAGTAGCGGAACAAAGTCCCACTGACCTGAGGGCAGTCTGGAGCATGGGAACAGTGCCATCTCTATCTCTCTCTCTATCTCTCTCTCTCTCTCTCTCTCTCTCTCTCTCTCTCTCTCTCTCTCTCTCTCTTTCTTTCTCTCTCTATCTCTCTCTTTTTTCTTTCTCACTGTCTCATTACTAGCCCTTTTCTTAATTTCTACCCTGATGTTTTCTCTGTTCCCTCCTCTTCCTTATTTTCAGCTCCATACCCGTCTGTTGTCTCACTCGCTCTCTTCCTTCCCTCTCTCACTCTTGCTGTCCTCGAGGTTCAGGAATCTGTTCCACTGGCTCTGACCCAAAGCAGCCAGATGTGTGGGGAATCGAGGCCAGAAGGAAAGGAAGAGCAGATACCAGAGTGAAAGGAGAGAGGAGCAGAAAAGAATGATGAACGGATCACACTTTTCAGCACAGAGATCTGTCTTTCACCTTCTGTAAGGCAGCAGTTTAGTGGTATGCATACTGCAGTAGAAGCAGGAGAAGAATTCATGTATAATTAATGTCTAGAATAAATCCAGACTCAGTATCTGACTATTCGTGAGTTGTTTTTTACTTCAAAAAAGAAAAAAAAAAACAGAAAAGTGTCAGTCATAGGCTACATTAAATATTAAATAATCAGTGTTATATGATATATTTAAAGTGTAACAGTACCTGTAAGCTCTGTTCTAAAGATCTTATATGACATTGCCTGTTTGTTTTTTTTTGTGTTGTGAGCAAGACTTTGGTCTTTTTGCTAGACTGTGCTTTCTGGGCACCTGCCAACTCACTTTTTTGCAATTTCACACCACAGTTAGTGCTGTTTTGATTTGTCATTTTGAGCTCATATTGTTGGAATATATGTTTGGGTTTATGTACCAAAAACAGGTACACAACCACTTGTAAATGGCCTCTGTTCTGATTGGCTCACCTCTGTTTGTGCCCCATTAATGAAGCAGCCTAGGCTGAAACAATCATTTCAGTGTGAAGGGGTTGAGCTAAACTGCTATAGGCTGAATAGGTGGATATATGTCAATCTGGGCTGAGTTCAGCCCCAAGTAAACGTAGTAAAATGTTTATTTAAATGGAAACAGTGGTGCATTGAACACTCTGTTGTATTATGCAAGGGTTGCAACTATGGCAGCTGAGAAGGCATTGCATAGTCTGTTAACAAAATACTTACAACAAACATGTCTTCTAATGTCTTCAATAGTTGTATACACCAAGCTGCAGCAGCTCGATTTGTAGAGGACTCTATTAGAATCCATAGTGTGCACTGCCTTTTTAATATGGCAAGGTTTATATACACGTCGCTGCTGATTGGGTAATGCCTCAGACACACTCATCAAACGAAAGAAAACTCACCTCAAAGCCAGTTTCACACCATTTCACAAAGTTTCAGTGGAACATGTCACTTAACACGGAAACCATAGCAAAATGGCGCACAACATTTTGAGATTGAACGTGCCCCTGTTTATTTGTGACGTCACAAAAAATTAAACAGGCTGTCTTTGTAGTTAACTTCTCTATGTGGACTGTGGACTTTAACAGTGTTTATATACTGCATCAAACTGTTTTATTAAAAAAAAAAAAACAGTAAAAAATGTAAAAGTTGTCCATAATTTGGGCCTAAATCTGTTTTGTTTAACTGTATATAATTGTATGTTTGGCTCATGTTTACAGAAAGATCGCATAAACCACCTAAACAAAATGTAATCAAGACAACATCAAAACGTGGGTATAAACTGCTCAACTGCCTATACCATAGGGTGACCGGATGTCCTCTTTTTGGGACCTAAAACTGTGTCTGTCCTGTATTTCTAAATTGCCTAATTTCTAAATTGACTTTCCTTTTATGTTGGCATCGGCTTTCTACTGTCTGCGCCATGCTGATCTCCTGCCCCTAGTGACCTCTTTTTTTGGAAAACAAAATATAGTAACCCTATCATAACAGAAGTGTTGTGGTTTTGTTCGCTCTTGGCCATCTAACCAAGAGCTTTCTCCCACTTCTGCCACAAGATGGCAGTATATTCTTTATAACATTCATCCTTCTGATGTTCACTATGATGTAGAGAGGTGACAAATTAAAGGAAAAAGCTGAATATAAGACTAGAGAAATAAAATGAGTACAGATACTTCCAAACGGATGTACTGCATGATACAGTTAAGCAATTATTATCCTACTGTGCTCTGTGGCATATTTACAAATGCTGAGGAAGCTCAGTTGACCTTGATGTTGGGTCAAGATGGGAAGAACAAAAGATCTCAGTGAGTTTAAAAGAGGGTTTATTGGGGTGCAGGAGCTTCAGTCACAAAGACTGCCCTACTGGATAGTGTTTCAGTAGGAACAATGACTTAAAGTAACATCTGCATTTGGATTCTTGTAAACAGGGTTGGAACTTGTGACTTGGAACGTGCGTTAGTGTGATATGTAAGGAAAACAGAAGAGCAACTGTTCCTCAGGTGACTGAGGATGTGTCAGCAAGAACAGTCTGTCCTCAGTGACGCAGAGACGGATCCTATAGTAGAGTTAAACCCCTCATTACAAAGACAAATGCTCATTTGAGAGTTCAGTGGTGTTAAAGCCATAAGCACTGGTCTACAGAGATGTGGAAAAAAAGATATGGTCAGATGAGTCATCCTTCACCATGTTCTCAACAAGCGGTCGAGTGCATGTGGTGTACACCAAGAGAGCAATACAAGCCTGAATGCTTGACCCCTACAGTGAGGCAGTCTGAAGCCTCTGTTATACCAATGGGAGGCATTTTGCTGGCATTTGTAAAGTCTGTAAGTTAGCAAATCACATGTATATAGGACACTCTAACCTAATCTGTAGTGTCGCCATGGAGCTTTTTCCTGTATAAGAGCTTAAATGTGTGTTTTTTTTTTTAATTTTGCGTAATTCAATCGTTAATATGTAACAAATTAATTAACAATGATTTGATGTGAAATAGTTCATTGTTGAGAAACTTACTGACACCGATTCACAGTGGTGGTGATAGGAACCTGGGGATACAATGTTTATAACACACATATAGCCATTTTGTTTAAAATCCAAAACTACCTGTGAACCTGCACATGCTTTATATGTAAAGCTGAGAGTAAAATAAATGTAAAATATTGATAAAAAATAAGTTTTAATTTGGTATTTTTACTTACAATGCCCTGCATGTACCTCTCCACCATAATCTAGTTCTGTAATTATATTTTAGGCCAAAACCTTCTCAAAACTATCACAAAGCAATGTCTAAGACATAAGTCAGCATATTCATAAGCAGTTCATGTAATAAGTTTCTAACGTAGCTTTTAGAGGGATTAAACTCTTCAGATGTCTGGTTCCTCTCACCACCACATCGAACAATTCTTACTCAGTAAGTTTCTCAAGCATTTCATAGCAAGTCAGCATTTCACATCAAACCACTCTGAGTCATTTTGAAAAATCCCCCTTATTCAAAATAGATCTATGTAACATAACCATCACTCTTTTATTTTTTGCTTTCATGTGTTTCTTTTCACTTTGTATATTTGGAGCATATCTGCTGAAGCATTCTCTCACAAGCCAATGGTGTCTGAATTATTAATGGTGGTGGGGCAGGCAGGGGGAATTTAGTTCTTCCCGATAATGCACCGACACGAAGGCCACCCTTTGCAAAACAGCACACGGCACGAAGCCGAGACACATAGACAACAAAGCGTTCACTTGCAAGGTAACTTTACAGTTTATTACGATAAAATCCATATGGTATAATCATACAGAATTGAAACTATATCAGCTTTTGTAAACAACTTTGGACAGAAGCATCAATCAATCGATCAATTAACATATAAACACTGACTACATTGAAAAATGTATAAATTACAGGATGTGTGTGTAAACGTTCTTCGTTCTCTCTCCCTTCAACTCTTGTGGACTTTCTCTCTCAGCTGGCAGGAAAGTGGGGCTACAGTCGCAGAACCAGTCAAACCAAGCCACACTCGGCAAACTCAAACCAGGCCTTGCTGTAAACTCAAGTACCAACGAATTCTCACAAACACATGACTCAATCTCTGTTAAATGTTGCTTCATGAGGAGCGAAGATGTGGCCAATGCAGGATAAACTAACATTCAAGATTGTTTCATGAATACCAGTCATAGACAGTTCTATAACACAACAATAGGGCAGCACTGATTCCTGTAAATAGCTTCAGAGGTGATTCAAGAGTAGATTTGATTGATCACAGATTGAAACCATGAAGGCCATAAAAGAGACACAACCTGACTGTGACTAGAGAGGTTCTCCTATGAGGTAAAATATCAGGGTTCTATAGACTATTTTCTGTTTATTTGCATAAACTACTAGGAATCCATAGAAAAATAAACTTTTATTTCATTTTGTGAATCTTTGAATATACAAAATCAACTGATAGTAGATAGCAGTAGGTTTAGATGTTGGCCTAATGCCTCGTTATATTTCCCTGTTTTGAAATTAAGGTTCTCTTAAGGATGTTCCAAACCACTCACCCATGTGGCATCAATCCTTCTCATTATGATCTCTTACCATGGGTGAAAAGTTACAACAGAAACTGTGCAAAAGCTGGTAAAAACTCAAGTCTCTGAGTAGATTTGAGTCTAGATATCATACACCTGTCCATAGATGTAATAGACACAATACTAATGTTATGAGGTGTATCTGCTTAACCCATGTGTCAGAACCAAGTAAGGAAACTACTTCTTGTAGACACCTTTACCAACAGCATAAAATGAAAACCTGGAATCAGATATATCAAAATATAATAAAATATCTAAAATCAAAATAATTCTAAACATCATCTGCACTTTGCAATAAATAAACTCTTTAAACTCTTGAGCTATATGTAGATCTGTATAGGCATTAAGGTATTTTTTAATATAATCTGTGAAATGAAAATGGATTGATAGTAACATATGAAGGTAAGAGAGGTTTAAAAAGCAAATTACCTTTACTTTTTGTGCAATAAATAGAACACCATGTTATCATAATCTACTAAAGAAAACATCTCATTTAATTAGAACATGCAGAAGTTAACGGCACTGAAAGCAGCATGATATGACTAACCGGCTATGGGCAGAGAGGTCGGGGGGACGAGAAAGGACGTGATAGGCTTCGAAACTGGTCCCAGTATTTTGAGGGGTAGATGGCACTGCTTAAGACTTCAGACACATACAGACACTCACAAACAGGCCTCAGAACGCTTACAGATGAGAAACAGTAGTGTCAAATTACAAGCTTGTCTGGAAGAGTAATGTTGCTCTCATTCTGTGCCTGGCTGTAATGCACTCATCCACACTTTTTCTCACCTTCTGCCCCTTCAGATCTCACTCCCCATGCATCTTTCGACCTTATTTTGCTTTACCTCTGAGGTTCTTAACTCCAGTCCTGGGGAGGATCCACTGCACTGCAAAGTTTCCAAATCTGCTCCAACATATCTGATGCAACTCATCTGTTAATAATAAAGATGTTCATGAGCCGGATCAGGTGTGTTTGAGTTGGTAATAGTCTTAGGCCAAGAACATCTGCTTTCAAGGAATGGGCCTTTCGACTGACATGAAAAATAGCAAATCACAGACTATAGTTTTTGTATGGCGTGTAGGGCAGGTGACTGTTAAAAACGGTCTGCAACAAAAACAGACCCCCATTAAACAAAGTGGTGAAACAGTGGCCAGAAAATCCTGTGTTGGTAGCACCAAAGGCAGCATTGCAAAATGTTTATATACTGTATTTTATGCCAAAAGGCTCAACTGTCACAGTGTGCAGAGCCAGCCAACTGCTTGCTATTGATGTCTAGCTAGTCTTTAGCTTGATAAACAAAAGCCTGTTTTCTGTTGGACTGATAAAACTTGTGCATGATGGTGAAAGTGGCCAATGAGAGTGTAGCTGACGAATTTCTGCTAGCTGTCACCATCTTGTGGTAAGTTCGCATTGGCCTTGTAAAATCCTACAATTGTCATGTTATCAAAACTACCCAGTGTTTGAGTTTGGGTGGTCCTTGGCAACTGGTAAGAAGGTTTACTGTCCAAATGCACCATTACAGCATAACATACATCAGAAGGTCTGTGTAGCTCTGTGGGCGGAGCTTTTAAGGCTGAAACAAGGCCAGGGTATACTTGTAACTGTGCAGCTTAGTGGGTCCCCAGGACTGTAGTTGAGAACCCTCTTCTACCTCACTACTTTTTTACCCCTACATCTACTCCTTTCCTTGGCCCCTTCCTCCCCCTCTCTGCTCTCCACCCCCTTCACTGCTGTTCTCCTTCCAGTATGTCGAACAGAGCTTGCAGCAGCCGCTCATCTCTGTGCCGGTCGGCCTGGTCCCTGTAGAAGCTGTCTCTGTAGTGGTTGTACAGGCTGCTCTCAGGGCTGAGGCGCTCCTGGGCCTTGTACAGCTTCTGCTGAGGGATCCTGTCCCGCAGCGGGGGAGCCCGGCTGAGGGAGGCCACAGAGTGGGGGTAGATAGCAGGGCTCTGCCTGTTGAAGGCTGACTGGAGGAGGTGCAGCAGGGCTATGTCAGGGGTGGAAGCAGCCTGAGCCGTTCTAGGCTTCTCTTCTGGGGCAGGAGCCTGGGCAGAGGAAGAGGCAGCGAAGGGAGCTGGTGCACGAGACTTTTCCATTTTTTTGGGAGGGACAGAGGACTCCTATAAAGAGAGGAGGAAATAAAAAGTGAGATTATGTCAAGTGAAGTCAGGTCAAATGTATTTATGAAGCCTATTTTAAAGCACAGAAAGCGTTTGGTAAAGTCTACAACAAAAACAAATCCAAATGAAAACAGATAAACAAATACGTCTCAGAAAATAAATGTCAGAAAGGCTAAAATAGTATCAAAATAATAACATGAAAGAAAAAAATACACATTACACCAAACACACTCTGAAGAATAACTGCAGATCTATGTGAGCATCAAAGCTACCACTATCCTACTGCCTGACCCAATGTCCTGTATCCCAGATTGTACATTTAAATGAAGACAAACTTTTTAAAATTAAAAGTTTAAAATTTTAAAGTCTGCTCAACTTTTTAAAGTTAAACCCTGACTTTCATATTGTTTCATCTAGAGAACTGCAACTCCCTTTTCATCAGTATTCCAGACAAAACCATTTGCTCCCTTGGGTATGTTAAAATTCAGTCGCTAAAACTCCCAGTCAAAGTTTTTACAGTATAGCTAGCAAGTAAGAAAAACGTATACTTCAATTAACATTGTGCAAACTACACGTTCAGTCATCTATCACCGTATATTGCAGTCATTTCATGAATTTCAAAATTTTTATTGTATAACAATGAACTTTCGATAACACAGCACTGTTTAATGCAAAAGCTTTTGCTTTATAAGTACTTTTTGGTCACCAAATTACCACCACGAGTCTTATTTAGCACCAATCCAGCAGCACCCCACTTTTTGTGCTGGGGCTGTATCTCAAATGGCTCCCTGCTCCCTACATAGTGCACTATGTAGGAATTTAAGTATTGGATCCTGCATCCCAACAATGCAAAATCAGCCACATCCACACTCGATAAATGATGCACTATTTGGCTCTAGAGGCTAGAATTTCTAAACGTTCATAGTTAGCACACTATTTACGGAGCACAGAGCCAGCCTGGGTTTGACGCTACTTCTGACTGAAACACGAACATTTGAAGCATGTAATCCATTCAAGTGGCATTTTTAGACTTTTATACTGCTATTTTGTAGTTAATCGTACCGTAAGTATTTTAATTCAAGCCTGTGGTATTACTGATGGAGTTGTTTAGCCTGTTAGCTAGCTGACCAGCCTAGTTCTAGTTAAGAACATAAATTGCCAGCCCCTCAGTTTAAACAAAAATAGGTTACTTCATCAATATACTTGGTGGTCCACGTGAGAATCACGAGAGTCAAAGATTATTCCATTTACAGCACAAGGGTCTTTTTCGTGCCGTGGTGTAGTAAACATGACTCAGTTGTTGTGAGGTGGTCATAGGAGTGTGTATATCGTGGATTTTACAACAGCTTCAAACACGGCTCAGCCAATCAGATTTTAGAACCGGAACTATCCGTTTTGTAACACTTATTAGCAGATTGTCCTTGTAGATCTAGTGCTTGGCTGAGCACTAAATTACAAAATTGTAATAAAATTGTGTAAATGAGATTTTTTTTGACAAACTATCCCTTTATTCGCTCAAGGCTAAACCACAATTAAACAGTGGGTGCACAAAGCAATGCACTGTCACATAGTTACTACAAAAGAAATATTAATGTTCACGCGGAAGGTTGTGTGTATGTAGCTCTCACCTCCAGCATGTCCTCCATGTGTTCGACTCCTCTGCGGTCATTCTGCACGGCGTTGTAGGGCGTGTACACTCTCGGCTTCTTCATGTGCTCTGGCTTCTCAGACGTCCCGTGAAGAATCAGCTTCCAGCTCAGTATCTGCCCCTCGTTCTCCATTCGGCCCGACTGAGAGAGAAAGAATGGAGAGTCAGAGAGCTGCACGTGTGCTAACAGAGGAAAATGAAAAGGGAGGAAGATGTGCTGATATTTACAGTGTCAGTGATTTTTAGCGTCCAGGTGCCGGTAGGGTTCTCCCCCCAGGTGTGCACAGACATAAAGTCCCAGTTTCTGAAGCCATTAGAGGACGTGTCCCTCTCCCTCTCAGCCAGCAGCACTGTAGTAGTTCCTGATGACAAACAAGGGGTTTTGCATCCATTACAGTCAGTATGTGGTATATGTTTGTATGCACATGAATACAACACTGTGCACAAGACCACTGAGAAAATAACTGAACAAATCCATACAATGGCTGAGGTACAATCGAGGAGCAGAGGAACTAAACCTATGTTCTTCTAACCAATTCAGTGAAAACGTGTTGCTTTTTACTGTACCTTTGCTGTTTGTTTGCATCAATTCTAATGTTAAGTGCATTTATAAGCAAAAACTCATTCACAGCCCAATTATATTGTTTTAAACAGTTTTCTCAGGGCTTCTGATGTGTGAGGGCGTTTCACCTGAAGTTGAAGTGTGTTTGAAGACCTTAGCACACCTACATGTTAACTAAAACACTTTATGTACAGCTAATTGGTGATTTATTATTGAAGTATGCAAAATGCTATTAGTCTGCATTGAAGTCACTGTAGTTACTGAATAATAAGCCTTAGTATGAAATAAACCTGGAATGTAAAGGAGTTAATTCACTATTCTAGTGGCCAGTTAATTAACAGCTACAAACTAAATAAGGCTTAACAAGAGCATTACAGCAGCATTATAATGTCCCACTATACTGAGGTGTCTACTATATGTCATATATGGGATGTCTGGCTTGGTGGAGTACTGTATGTGTTCTTGTGCTGTCATGATTGTAACTACATGTATGAGCATGTGTCTCACCTGACGGAGATGTTAGTGTGATGTGTAAGTCTCCTCTCCTCGTGTACTCAATGCTGGCCTCCACCTGCACATGCTCAAGAGAGTCTATAGAGTTTGTCTGCCCAGCACATGCTTTAGTGGGAATCTCAATGCTGATCTCACCTGCTGCCTTCAGAGGCCTGAAACACAGCAAACACACAGGTTTCACATATAAACAAGACCAAACATACTTATGTATGTGTACCTTTGGGACATGTACTCTGATTTACTCTTCCAAAGCATAACTACGTTTGGCTCATGTTTCCTTGTCATATCCAGGGGACTATAATCCCTGCCCCAGTGTACAAGACATGAATGACAGGATTTCCCTGTCCAACTCACAGGGACAGAGATGTGAATCATATAATTCTTAAGGATTACAATGAGAAGGCATGGAGTCTGCTGTAAAGAAGAGTTGCTGACCGATTCAATACTCATTTTAACATGCATCCATCAACTTGGCTCTGCCATTTCCCCTCAGGGCCATCTTAAGGGCTGTTTTATTACTGTATTTGCTAAAGTGGTTTCTTTGATGAGCCCTCGGGTGGAGAGAGACCAAATGAAAACAACTGACGGCGCACTGACGAAATTCCCTTTTAAAACCCTTCAAAAAATGATGGACAAAGCTGTACCTAAGCAACACAGCCAAATACTATATTTCAAAATATTATACTATTATATATTTGCTATGTTCAGACTGGGATTTATAGAGCATAATGTTAATGGTGGTGGTGTGTTAGTGTGTGTTGCACTGGTATGAGTGGATCAGACACAGCAGTGCTGCTGGAGATTGTAAACACCTCAGTGTCATTGCTGGACCGGGAATAGTCCACTAACCAAAAATATCCTTCCAATAGAAGGACGAGAGGATGACCAACACAAACTGTGCAGCAACAGATGATCTACTGTCTGACTTTACATCTGCAAGGTTAGCTAACAGGGTAACAGGACTAACAGGGTAGGAGTGTCTAATAGAGCGGACAGTGAGTGGGTGTTTAAAAACTCTGTGTCTGATCTACTCGTACCAGTGCAACACACTTACACGTCACGTCAGTGTCTCTGTAGTGCTGAGAATGATCCACCACCCAAATAATTCCTGCTCTGTGGTGGTCCTTTGGGGTCCTGACCATTGAATAACAGGGTGAAAGGGGGCTAACAAAGTATGTAGAGAAATAGATGGACTAAGTGCACCTATACTGTAAGGGGAGCTGACAAAGTGCATAGATACAAGGAGGTGTTTCCATTTGTTGCTACTGGCTGCTTTGAGGGTGTGTTGATAAAATGCAAGCAAGTTTAGCTGTCTAGTGAAAGTGAATGTGGAGTTATAGGCTGGTTCTGTGAAGTCCAGCAGGCCTAATTCTGCTTTAAAAATTTCTCGCTGAATGTTTATGTGGGTTTTCCCAGCCACTGTAGTTGTTTCCTGTTAACTTCTGCATCTTTCCAACACTGATTTCAGCATGAAGCTTAATTATATGAGGCATGACGAAACAAAGTGCTTTAAATTTCAACAATCTAATTGGTTGGTGCTTCACATTTGCATAAAGTTCAGTAATTATCTGCTTCTTTTGCTTTGTTTGCCTACATCCTTCACCAGCTTTCTATGATAAATGCAACACATAGGGTTTACAAACAAACAACATGAATCTTGTTTTTATGGATGTTGCTATCCTGCAATGCTCAATAATTACAGTCTATGAGTGTAAGGCTGTACCTGGGCTGGAAGGTGTCGTCTCTGACTATGCACTGCTTTTTCTCAGGCACGTGCTTCCACACTTTGGGGTCTGCCAGGTCTACCAGAGCCTTAGCGTTCAGCAAACCGAAACCGAAGCGGCTGTTGACCATCAGCCCGGCGCCGTTCCTCTTCCAGCCAGGGTTGTTGGCCAATGGGTCAAACTCAGACGTCCACACCACCAAGTGCTGCAGGTCCCTCCAGGTCAGATCAGGACTGAAACCACACAGATAGATAGAGTTTCACTTAGTCTGAGCTTTGGACAGTCATACAGTACTGATTCCACAGCAGATCAATATCCCATCCAACAGACTCACTTTTCAATATTGAAGTAATTAGGCTTAGGTAAAAAGGTTCAATTACACATTTGCTATGCTTGGCTGATCTTGTATTGGACACCAGAATGAATATAATTTGCAGCTCTGTTGGGTGTCATTATGAATATGTTTAGTAAAAGATAGCACTATTATAAAGATGTCTTTACATACTTCTGTTCCAAAGCCAGGGCGAATATCCCAGCTGCCAGTGGGGCAGAGGCAGATGTTCCTGTGTGTGTCTCTGTGCATTCATTGTGCAAGTCGGCACTGGTCTGCAGCAGAAAAGCAAAGACAAAGGATTTAGAGCATGCAGATAAAAAGAGAGATGAAAGAGCTCATTAATAATTCACAGGAAAAGCACCAATGAGGAAAACTGCTCTATACAGGGAATTAGTACAGTACCATGTGTGATATAAATAATACCCCATTGGTATTGCTTTTACAGTGTGAGTGTCAGGCTGCGGTTAGACTGCAAAACTACTAAACCTGATTGGTGCCGGGATAGAACAGTGAAACCAGAGGGCTAGTTTAAAAAGGTTCAATACTAGGGCCAGAAAAATTCATCAGCTGATCTTAAGGTGGTGATTCAGCAGCAATGATTCAACAATATAGATGGTTCTAGTTCTAAAATCTGTTTCTGGATCTTTTAAAATAATCTTTGACTGTTATGTTGCTTGGCATCTGTAGCCTACTGTTAATGAACTACAGCTCTGTCTGAAACATAACAAATGCTGCCTACTCCGACAGTAAGAAGGCACCTAGTCATATCCAAATAGAGTGTTTGTATAAAAACGCTGCTTAGCTTCCTCGGTTTGGCTGTTTTTATGAAAGAAGTCTAGGTGTCTCCTTCGCTGCCTACATGTCCCATAATCCTGTGTGTCATTGCTGATGCCATTAGGAGAACAAATGGCAGAAGACACCAGCATGGGTACAAATATTTATTTGTGATTGTTTCAGCCAAAGATTTTAGTTCTGGCTATGTTCTGCTGTGCTAATTAAACTAATACGATCTAATGTTCAATGCTTAGGTAGCATTAGAGCTTCTTTCTGTGAGGTGAATGTTTAATTTATGTAAAATACCATATTTTGGGTTAAAAGAAAGATTTCTTATAAGAGATTTTTTTTGGTAAAAGATGCTAACACTAACACTAGCACAGCTAAATGCTGTCGGTATCTTCAAAACGTTGTGACATGTCGCTACCTTCTGAGGCCCTGACTTACGAGGCAGCACGGGCAGCAAGGCACTGAGACAGCAGAACTGTTTATTGTTATTATTGCTAAAAATGTCATGACCATCTTAATGTAATATGTAAAGATGTTTTTAGAATGCATGTGAGCTGCTTCTCTGTGATTCTAATTACTAATAAATAAGATTATTATTAAATATTTGTGTATTTTATTATATCAATATTACACTATTGTGTAAATAGTTCTTCCCATACACATTTTTGTATTATGTGTAATGAATAATCTCTTAAAGAACCAATGAATAAAAGCTGGTTGGTATAGTGCAGAGCAGAAACAGTGCTGCCCTCCACACAGCTGACTTCGGGGGGCCATAACATTATAAGTCTCTCTGAATAAGAGCATCTACCAAATGCTGTAAATGTAAGTCAGAGCTTTTCTCCACTACCACTAGTCCTAAATGAGGATTTCTGGTGAAGCTTAATCTGTACATGTGTGAGATGGTCGTATATCACTTACGATCCTCTGGTCAGTGTAGTCCCCGCTGCTGTAGGCCGTGGCCAGGGTGGACGAGCATTTCTCTGCGTACCATGGCGACAGGCCCTGCTGTGATGCGCTGCTGATGGAGATGGTGTAGATGCTGTCTGTGTAGCCGTCACAGTCACAGTTATCACCCTGACGTCCGCCGTTACCCGACGCCCAGACGAAGATGGAGCCCTTTCCACCTCGACCCTGAGAGAGCAAACAGGGTCACTTACAGAAGGGCTAAAGTCTGGCTTAGATCAGCATCTACAAGGCTAACGGAATTATAGAATTCAATGTGTAACCAAACCTCTGCAGCAGTGCTTATGCTAATGCTGCCTTGATGAGATATCAGAATTATCGTAAAAACACAAGTACCCAACATTAAAGTTGCACATGAATGTCCCTTTAATTGCAAGCTACAGAAACTTTTTCATCATGATTGAGAAAGGAATGGTATGAATAATTAATGCCAAACAATTCTTTACATCTCGTAGCCTCTTTCTGCAGGCCCCCTAGCGGCTATTCTCTTGGTGGAATGGAAATCGACTCTGATATTTTTATTTTGAAATTAATATATTTAAAACAATTACCTGTAACTGTAATCAGATTAACATAGTTCTGTGGAACTGTGTGACTCTGTGTTGAGCTGCTAGTGAGCAATGAGGGACGAAAGCCAAGGGGTGAGAACCCCCTGTTGTGAAAACACATCTCCACAATAAATATACTTTTAGAAAGTCATTCATGTGACTCGTTTGTTCACCTATGAGGATATCTACGAGGATCCAGTTTTGTTTCCAGTTTTGTAAATATTGTTAAAGAAAAGTAATAAACATTATTGCATTTTATGGCTGCTGTGACAAAATATTAATTCAGCTTACTTTTAGTGCTCACCAATTAGGCTGTAAATATTTGCTCACATCAGTCACCTGTGGTTGCATTACGCAATTTTTACAGGGAGGGGAAATGTTTGGAAGATACTGTCAGTTTAGCCAACTAGTCAACATTAGCACCATAACATCTTGATATATTCCATGTTTTAGACTACAAAACACTTCCTAGTTTACTTCTAAAGTGACTTAAATAACAATTAAATATCACCATCTGACAAGCAGGTGAAGGCAGTATATATGTACCCATCCCAAGACATGTGTCCTCACTCTGAAGGCATATTGACGCCCATGTTCCAGTAGTGCATAAATAAACTATAACATTGCTAATTCTACCACAATCAATAGTGGTACACATTCTTAAATAGGCCCACTTATCTCTCACCTTCAGGATGCCGTACTCAAAGGCCTTCTGAGCCAAGCGTCCAGGCCCCTCCACTGTTTTCCCATCATCATTAGGCCCCCAGCTGGCACTGTAGATGTCTACATGGTCTGGGTTAAACCCTATAGAGCTCGCTTCAATGGCGTCCGTCACAATGCCATCCAGCATCCGGATCCCTGAGGAGCAAAATGAGGTTCAGAGGAGTGATTAACCCAACCTGAGCTGACCTAGAAAACGTTCTTAATGGGCCTTGCCAGGTGCACCGTATGTGTGTGTGTGGTAATTTGGATGAGTGCTGTTATGTAATAGGTGCTGTGGTAAAAGCATACTGCCCTCTTAACTCTCTACATCCACCCGCCTCTATATTTGATTTTGACCTTGAAGGCACAGACTCTAAACGTTCTAAAGCATTCATAGCCTTTCACTATATCAGATAGGATACTCAGCTTTATGACAATGTTCATTCAGATACAATATTGTCTAAAAACGCTTTATACATTAGTTTTGCCTGGCCATGCAATCAGTAATAAACAATAAACAATAATTATTGCTTTACTTTAAACTGCTGGAACTCCTTTTTTTAAAAACATGTTATTTGGAACAATGTTAAGGGCTTCTTTATTTTTCTTTGTTGACTGGTGGCCTGTTCAGGGTGTTTCTTGCCTTCCGCCCAATGAACGCTGGGATAGGCTCCAGCACCCCCCGCAACCCAGTAAGATAAGCAGCTTAGATTATGTGTATGTGTGTGTTTTACTTTTTATTTTACTTCACAAAAGTGTTGCATACCGTCATTACTTTATGTGTTTTCCAGTCAAAACAGCCATTAAGTACAAGTTCTACGTTTTTCAGGCCAGATTTCTGAGGAGATTCCATAATGCACTTGCATAAGGAAGGTGAAAGTCAAAGGAAAGTATGTAAGGAAAAACAGGATTTTCCTGTCAAGAAGCACTTAATGAGAAAAGGAAATAGACAGAAAAAAAAACTTTTGCACTAGAACACCAAAACTGGACACCTGCAGTGTGGAGTAACCTTTTATGGACTGATGAGTTGAAATGTGTGACTGGGAAAATGCAGTCAACTTCTAAGACTGAACTTCGGAGGTGTGGAAAAATATCCCTGCTGATTACTATGAAAAAATGAAAGCAATTCTCCTGAAAATAGCAGAAGCTATAATGAAGGCAAAGGGTGGACACATTTACCCCTCAACATTCCAGGCCTAAAACACACTAAGGCTTATTATTCATTAACTCTAGGGACTTCAATGCAAACTAATGGAGCTTTTCTTAGATTATAGACTTTGGGCCTGCTGGTGGGCCCATGGCTTGGTAAGGGATTAAATGCTAAAATACATTTGATATTATATTTGATTGTTTAGAATTTTGTATAATTTTGTGTATATTTGTATCCTGCTTTTTACTGATGCTGAAAAAGGAATAACTTTTAAATGAAGGGTGATCTCTGACTTTAGCACAGAAGTCTAAGTCATGTGTCATCGCAAACAAACAATAAAATTATGGTTGTTTTATTGCATATATTTTGAATCCCATAACTACTTTTTCACTCACCTCCAACCTTAGAGTTGTAAGCCACTCCGACTCCACATTTGTTGTTGTCCGCCTGCATTGCAATCTCACCTGCACACCGTGTGCCATGCCTGAAGACAGAACAATAAAAATGTGTCAAGATAGATGAAATCCAGCACAATTCATTACAGTTCTGCTCTAAAATAAGGCTTTGTGATTTGGTTTTATGACTATCCATTCAGTATTCCTAATATCCTCATCTGCAATTCACTGTCTCATGCTTTATAGGCACAAAAGCAAGATTCATTGTAGGATGTCACTTATTTTCTCCATCATCTCCATCACACTATCAATGGGGAGCTAAATCTCCATCTAGAAAACGAGCTTCTTCGAAGGATCTTAGATTGCTGTACTATAAAGTGATGGATGGCTGCCTGCTCTGAGTATTTACCTTAGTTTTTTTATGTTTGATAACATTATGCCATTTAGAAGGTGTAATTTGCAAAGACGTGCTAATTGTTGGGCTGAATCTTGTTAATTGTTAATGACTGAGTTCTGTTTTCTCCTGGTTTTGCTTCCTCATTCATGTGAACTCTCTTTTGAGCATAAATGGACTGTTGACAAATTCTGTATTATACAAGCAATTACAGTGAAGTACCTTGAGTCTATTGACAAAAGAGTGCTCTGACATGGGTGGGTAAGAGGATGAGTGTGTTTGTGTGTGCATGCGTACGTGTGTGTGCTGCCACAGTATGAGTCACTCGCAGGCATTGTGTGTGTGAAATGGAGGCAGCTGAACTCATGGTGGGGGAAAATAATGAGTGTTTTCCATTTTTATTTCAGCACCTATGCCAGCCTCTAATTGCAGAACAGCTCAGCATTCATCCTGGCGCGCTAGCAAAGTGATTTTGTTGTGTGATTTGTTTTTTAAATGATATAGGAATTGCCTTATGGCAATGAGTAATCAGCTTCTCCTCACATCTCATAGGGCAGATATGATTTTGCTTAATGTAATGCACCTTCCAACAAATTATACACTACTGTTAAACAGTTTGAAATCACATTAAAGTTCCAATCTCATGGAAAACTACATTAAGAATTTGATGCAGTATGTAGTAACACTTTCACAATACAGCGTTCACTTCCCAGTCTACACAGTTCATGTATGGAAACTAAACTAAAAGGCAAAAAAGCCTGTCTTAAGTCTTTATGATGTCACAAAAACACATTTACATATCTCCATACATTAATTCACTCACACAGAACTTTTTAAAAGAGGCCCAATATAAGGCAGCCAATCAGAATTCATATTCTTATTCTAAGATATTAAAGATGTTAGAAAATGCACATATAAAATGAATTATGACTGTTTTTGGTACATAAAACCATGCAAGTGTCATAAGTGGACCTCAGGGAAAATCAGAAAATAGTGGAAAATGGGCCATTGAATAAGTGTTGTTATTTTGTTCATTAATAACTATATAACTACTAGTGTGTAACTATAGTGTAACACCCAAAAAAAGTGGTTCCAAACTTTCAATGGTAGCGTATAGAAATAATTTCAAATATAAAATCTAGACAAAAGGTATTTTGAGATGTTTTACTCAAAATTTTAGTAATTTAGAGAACACCAAGAGGCTAATAATTAAGGCTATAATCGTTATGTTTTTCAATAATAACTACATAATACATGTACATACTAGTGCATAACTATAATTTAACACCAAAAATGCCAGAGTGTATTTTTAAATATTTTATTCAATACTTTATGTGATAGGGAACTCCTAGAAGTGATAAAATGACAAATCATACACTACATTTCATGATGAATGGAGAAATAGAAATGCTCCAAAATCACTGGTAAAAACATTTTGCTTCTATTCAAAGTTAAAAAAAAAAGTTTTTCTTTTTCTGTAAAATTATCATTTGGTTTTGTTGTTACATCAATGTTCTAATCATTTTAAGCATGTACCTCTTCAAAAAATGTATTATTAAAAACCTTTTGAATGGAGGTTCCACACTTTTGAATGGTATTATTTCAGTAAGTTGGAGAACATCAAGAGGCTATTAAATGATAAATACACTGTAATTATCTATTTACAATACTTATATTGTTAGAATTATCTAATATCATATGTGCAATGTAAAATGTATCAAATATTTGCCTCAAGATTTGTTTACCATTTTTGAGATGCAACCTCACTGGACAGCTCAACATGCTTGGAGGAGAACACTGACCATCCTTCTCACCCAGAGACAGTAAGGCCAGTTATGCTCTCTTGAGCACCTGGTCACAGATGACCATGGAAAACTCACAACCTCTTGATGATAAGGCCAACTGACCAACAGCAATTACCAACATTATATTAGAACCAGGTTATACTGTATCTGCCCCAAAATATGGGTTGATATTTCTAAAAACATTGATTCCAAACTTTAAACAGCAGCATATGACCCCAGTGATGCAACACAGACTTAGCTGGGACGCAGTGTGGCGTGCTTCTCTAGGTTTCCGTTTTAAGTTTAGGGCAGCCAAACTGTGTATGTATTGTAATCCTGTTATGTAAGAGTGGACGAGGGAAACGTATAAGAGGGGAAGTGGATTACATGCGTTGTGTGACGGCGAGTTGACCTTTCTACATCACACTTGCTGACACTATCACCAGCGCCTTTTAAACACAGCTGTCATTGTGGCTGGGCCTGGACACGTTACAGCACATCCGATAATGGCGATCCCTATATTCCTGTCATAATTCTAGATTACCACTTCCTAATCCTGGATTGTGGCTCTGTGCCTGGGTGTGCATCCACTCACAGGACTTTCTGCTCATCCATCTGCAGACATGAAAGAATTATGACCGTAAGGCACTCACTTGTTCTCATTGGTGGAGTCGTATCTGGGGAAAGGATCGGGGTCGTTGTCGTTGAAATCATAACTGGCTGCAGGATCCTGGAGAAGAACAGAGAGGTTTTATATTTAAAACAGCAAATTTGATGAATTTAGTGAAGGTAATTAGTGATAAACACTCAGGACTTAATCCCTTAAATTACTATGAATTACTATGAAACTATAAGGTGTAGTGTAATGTATGTAGTATACAGCCACAGATTCTTTTTAAGGAGTATTCACCCAGTCTCTATTTGCTGCATCTGTAGATTATTATTATTATTATTATTATTTAATCATAGCCATTGCTTCACCTGCTTTTCCCCTTTTCTGTATTTTAATATTTTTACCTAATTCTCTGCTCATATTGCTCTTTTGTTATTGTTTGCTATCCGGTGTCAACCAGAGGAGGATGGGTTCCCCTTTTGAGTCTTGATTCCTCTCAAGGTTTCTTCCTCTTGCTTTTAGGGAGTTCTTCCTTGCCACCGTTGCCATTGGCTTGTTCATGGGGGCTTCGAGCTGGCTTTTTCTGTAAAGTTGCTTTGCGACAATGCTTGTTGTACAAAATGCTACATAAATAAACCTTGACTTGACTTGACTACCATAATAATAATATACCATTATATTTTCCTGTACTTGAAAAAAACCCTGGCTTGAAACATACTTATAACTGAAGCCAGCACGATGGTCTTTTAGCATCTGCCCATTGACTTCTATTATAAGTATTGTTTGAGGTAAGGGTTTTTCTGTTCTTTTACTTAGTACAAGGAAACATGTCAAGATTATTCTCAGTGGTGTTCGACTGTAAGCTACAGATACAGCAGATAGAGATTACATTGAAAAACACTGGAGTATTCCTTTAATCCAGCGGGTCACAATTTTCTATAAATATACACCAGCAAAAATAGACTTGATTGCTAGTTGAACATACAGAGTGGGCTTTCTGGCCACAGATTAGACCCCACTAACAGTGCCATTCACTAGCCTGCATCTGTGACTGGGAAAGCAGCCCATAATGATTTTGAAGTGTAATGCTGGTCTGAGCCAGAGGCTGCGCAATCGAGACACTAAAGGCTTTCTGACTGAGTAAAGATAATTACACACTGTGGCTCCATCTGTGTGGAGACCCAGCCTCACTCTTTCAGTCTCTGCCCCCTTTAGTCTCTGTGTGCATGTGTGGTCTGTCACTGCGACACATCTATTCACTATCACACACGCATAAAGCCTGCACTCAATTCAAAGCACCTCCCCATCAGCCTCTGCAGTTTGTAAACAACTACAGGTGGAGGAACTGCCCATGCTGCAACACAGTATGTCTGAGTGCTAATAACTGGCATATATATTCTAATGGTTACACATATTGTGCCATATTTGCTAGGCATAAACCGACAATTCAGCCACCGAAAATTTTCATACTAAAAGATGAAATAATTCTCAAACAACAGTTCCAAAGTGCAAAATATAACTTCTTAGATGACAATGCTTTTTCTTTTGTTGAGGATGTTGGACTTTGTGGCACACACTGTACATAATACAATAAGTCTTTTTATTTATTGTCAGCTTCTTTAATTCTCTTTTCTTGGACCCTGAATTTCAGTTTCCACCAAGAATTTTCATTTTGGGTCATTAGTCTTGCATGACAAGACATGATCTTGTATTGGATCTGGGGACAACCTTGGGCTAATGTGGGTGGGAACATGTACTATGTACTAGGATAGGAACAAACAAAGTGTGAAATCTGTATATCAATCGAATTGTCGGAGCTCAAAGTAGAGCACAATGGTGTCCTTGTCAGCACTGTCAAACACGCAACAAGCCTGTCACCAGCTCATGCATGTACGGTAAGTTAGTATGGCTGAAAAGTCGCCCCCAAAAAAACTTCAATAAAGCATGCAGATGTGTGTTTCATGTGTCGACCACATTACATGAGGTAAACATTTCAAAGCAAAAACACATTTCCCCTAGTTAACAGTAGCATGTTGCTAGCTCGTTTTGCTTGCATCAGTGATTGTATTCCAGATGACTAGAGGAATGTGAGGTGGGTTTTAGAGGGGGCTGCCAGCACCATCAGTTTAACCAGTTGTCCTCAGACATGTATTCTCAATACAAGGTTATGTCTGGCCCCTCGAGACTACACTAGTAGTTGCATTTGTAACACTTTTTGAGTGTTTGTTTTATTTTGAGTTTGTTTTATTTAACCCTTAGAGCTCTAAACTAATCCTCATTGCTGCCTTCACTTTTAAGCACAAATTGGACACATTACAGTAGAGATGCACATCAATGGAACCTGGAGAATCTAAATCAGAGGTAGGGATTAATCATCTCTGACTTTCAGTGTAACACGCCTTTTAAGTACGTAAATTACAAATGGAACCTGATTTTTTGTATTTTCTTAAATGTAAACACACCACAAAGCTTTCATTGCAGAGCCCTTAACTCTCTTTACTGATATTTCAGGCTCCTTCAGCGCGAATGTCACGTATATGTGAGCTTAACGCTAAACATGTTCATCAGACGGCTTCGCACACAGCGGTGATGGTACTAGATGTCACTATGGATAATGTCTTGCATGGTTGGGGGTAGCAGTCACCATGGAAACAGCTGTAAGGTGTTGTGGTGGTGGAGTGGGTGTTGCTATGGTGACGCTCTTACGTAATTGGGGTAGATGTCGGTGTGGTTCCACTCCAGGCCATCGTCCAGCACGGTGATGACCACGCCTTTGCCTGTGATGCCTTTCTTCCACACGGGGATGACATGCAGGTCCAGCTTCGGTAGAGATGGAGACGTCCGCGTGTCTTGCTGAAAGGGGGGGATAAAAAGAAGGTGAGAGAGAACGAGAGAGCGAGAGAGAGAGAAAGGGGAGAGAGAGAGAGACAGTGTTAAAAAGAGAGAGATAAATATAATGCAAGAGAGAGATAGAGAGATAAAAAGATGAATGAGAGAGAGATTAAAAGAATGAGACAGTGAGAGAGAGAGATAAAGAGAAAGAGGGAGAGATACAGAGGAAGACAGAAATAGAACAAGAGAAAGAGAGAGGGAGAGAACAAGAATAAAATAGAGAAAGACAGAGAAAAAAGATGAAGAGAAAGTGAAAAGGAATGAGAAAGAGGGAGACGAGAGAGAGAGAGACAGAATGAGAGAGAGAAATGAACAAGTGAGAGACAAAGAGAGAGAATGAGGGACACAGAGATAGAGAGAAAGCAAGACAGAGAGAGTAAATCAGCACATGAGCTTCTTTTAACTACACTCTAAGAAATGATGGTTCTTCAAGGGTTCTTTAGTCAAGAAAATGGTTCTGTATAGAACCATGAACACTCAAAGAACTTGTTGCATGATTAAAGGGTTCTTTGCATCATGAAAGGGATCTTCAGATTGATGGTGAATGTGCTGTAGATGATTCTATATAGAACCTTTTTAAAAAGGGTTCTATATAGCACCAAAAAGGGTTCTTATATGATTTCGATGTCAAGCTTGTAACAACAGAAGAGCCCTTTTTTAACAGCATATTCTCCATCAATCTGAAGAACAACTTCACAGTGCAAAGAACCTTTTAATCATGCAAAAGGTTCTTTGAGTGCTCATAGTTCTATATAGAACCATTTTCTTTACTGAAGAATCCTAAAGGCCACAATCGATTAAATGGAGTAGAGACAGTATATACAAGTCCACACATTTTCAGTTTAGTGCACTGGCCTCGTTTTCAGATACTGTGCTGTTTGCCTGAAGATGTGTCTCTAAATGTGACCATGCAAAGGTAATGAATTGAATTCTGCGTATGTGTATCCATCGATCCATTGACGTTGTACAGTCCACTTTTGTCCACTTCCTTTAATAAAAAGGCTCTCCACAAACTGCATCCATTAGCAACACTCTAAAGCAGAATGCCTCTTGTTTAAATGATATAATCTTCCATGTTGACCTTTCTAGGCTCTATTCACTGTCCTTCCACGGCAATGAGAACCAGGCTGTCACTGGCCAGGTAATTAACCATTAGAGAGAGTGCTGAAGAGCGAATTCAGCTATACACAATATTGTCATGTCATCTGTTCAGTAAAGGCCAGATAATGTATGGAAGCTCCACATGGAAGGTGGGGGACATCATTAGCATCAGTGTTTTAATTGGTTAATAGACTGGGAGGGGGCATAGAGAGGCAGCCCAGGGGCCCTGATGAGTCAGAGGAGGAAAAGCAGGAGAAAAAGGCTGGAATAAACAGCTCCAGGAGGCTGTAGATTTATGCATAGACGCAGCACAAGCACCAACCCCTCAGCCATGACTCATAGCTGATATCTCCCTCCCTCTCTCTTAAGCAGAAGGAGGAGGTGGCTAGAGCTGATGGTGGACGTGACCACACATATGAAGATTTTGGATGGTCAGGGAGGCCACTGCCCTGAATTCAGAACAGGGTAAGAGAATAATACAATTAATCAATCTTATTTTTTTATATGTATATGTGCATATATATATATATATATATAAGTGTTTTATCAGTGTTTTTACACACACACACACACACACACACACACATTAATAAATATATATAGAGATAGATACAGATACAGATGTATACATATGTAATGTTAATAAGCTGCTGTAGAATTTAATTTACTACTTTTATTTATTATTTATTATTATTTATTAATTTATGGAGATGAGTAAAGCAGTGGAGAACGCATGACTGTGGAAAAGCCTATAGCCCTATCATACTGTATCTCTGGAGTTTTCTTCTATGATGATTAGCTTTGAAGGATCAGCATGCACCCAAACACACATTCATATTCACCACACCCACCCAATTACAGCCTGTGGCACTCAGCCTGAAATAGAGAGAACTGTCTTATGACTCATCTCTGATAGAATTATCAAGCATCCTCTCTAAAGAACCATAAGGTAATGCATTCGCTATGCAGTCACCCCCCCCTCTCTCTCTCTCTCCGTCCCTCTCCTTCTCTCTTTCTTTCTCTCTTTCCTCCTCCATGAATATCCATCTTTTGCTCATGCCCTTCCTTCTTCTTAGCACATCCTCCGTCTCATCTCCATACCTCGCACGTCATCCTCCCTCTATCGCTCGCCCCCTCCCTCTCTATGCACCACTGCACTAGAGTGCCTCTCTAAAGAAACCAGGGCCAATGGCGCACAAAGACACGCCACGAAGACTACTTATGCAAACAGGTCAAGTAAAATAAAGGTTAGAATTCTCTATTTTTTATGTGAAAATATTTACAATGGTTAACTGATTCAGGTCACTCAAGTTCTCTGAAAAGAATGCACTTAATTATAAAATCAACATTATGCCATTATAACATCCCTTCTCTTCTTCCTGATAACCAGGTTTTGGAGCAACTTACTAATTAAAAAACAGTACATTTCAAACTGTGTAGACATGTCTTTATATTTATGGACATATCTGTCTGCAGGTTTAATAGATTTCAACACTATTTCTAGTACTGAACAACATCACATTTAGGTGGTTACAGTATTGGTTCTGTTTAGAGTGTTTGTTTTCACTACATGTTTGAGCCCTAATTTCCAGGGTTTAGGTTTTCTGGAAAACTACACTCTTACAAAGGTGCCACAAAAGGATCTTTGAGATTCCCACAGCAGTGCTGCCCAAGAAGAAACAGAACACAGCATAATGTTGTAAAATACATTTTTAAAACTCAATATGAAACCTACCTACCTTGTTCATTCAAATATTTTGTCTTTTTGGCCCTCAACCAACCACAAACATGTACTTTGGCACCCAAAACAAAAAGGTGGGCACCCCTGCCATAGAAGAACCTTTGGTAACGCATTATTTTGAGTGGTCTTTTTTAAATGAAACAAACACTCAACACTCTCAGTAACATGTCAACAACATATGAAGGTTAGGATCAGGTTCTGGGTTGAGGTTAAGGTCAGGGTTAGGATTAGGGCCAGGGTTAGGTGTTGGGTAAGGTTAGGTTTTGTGTAATGGAAGTAACATATTAACAATACATCTACTTAATGTAAGTAATGTATCAACAGAACATCTTCAAGATATTGACTTCAGTGTATTCAGATGCTGCACTACTGATACTTCACTGATATGTAGTTGATGTGTTACTGATAATCTGTAAAGAGTTTATTAATCATCTACAATGGACCACTCGAAATAAATAAAAATAAATGTTACCAACCCGTTTTTGGCTCCCCAAAGAACCATGCTTGAAAAAGAGATTTGTGTGTGTGAAGAGCCTTTTGCAGGTTTAAAGAACCTCCACCTAATGTAAAGGTTGAATACCATTTTAAAGGTTCTTCCTGGAAATTTTCCATTAAGTGGAGGATCCTGTTCTCTAAAGAGCCATCCATTAAAAGGTTTCTTAGGGAACCAAAAGCAGTTCTATGACCCTTTGCTTCTGCTTTGTTTCTGCAACTGGCACATTCGGTAATGAGTAAATTGATCCTCATTCCATAGGAAATCTCATAGTGGCTACCAGTGAAGGGAATGCAATGGAATTATTATTGTACATGAACAACAAAAATTCAGCGACTGTGGCTGTGGTCCCATTCTATTGGCGATGCTTTTCTATTCTCTTCTATGCAGTGGAACACACCTGTGTCAGCAATAAGTGCACTTTAAAGTAGCTGAATTCACTGAATTGAAGGGCTGTCTGGAGACTTTTGGACAAATAATGGCACCCCTAAACACTGCTATCACAGCATGACAGAAAAGATACAGATACTCTGCACAGACCGAACCGCTGAGAGGAAGCTGGGCTGTCAGGCTGATTTGATGATGTGGACCAGCGTATGACAAAGCAAGCAGGAATTTTATGACCAGTTCAATTAGAATTGCCCAGACAAAGAAAGCAAAATGTGTGCTTTACGGGTGACTCAGATTTTCTAATATCCTGTTTTTCAGTCATAAATGAACGATATAACAGAAGGAGTCATGAGCAGGAACATGTGCAAACACGCACACACACACAGAAACACTCTGAAAAGAACAACACAACAGAAGAATAGTGCCGCTAAAGAGCGATCTGGGATAATACGCACATCTAAAATGAATCCATCAGTTGTAAAAGCATGGCGAGCGCTCCATTTGATTAGAGTGGGTCACAGCTCAGGCTACGAGCGGATGTAATTCATATCTGGGAGAATTGGGACATTTGCATCTGTGCCCATGCTTCATGGCTTCTGTAAGATAAGCCCACAGTGCTGAAACAAATTAGGACTTTACATTTGATTGCCTCTTCTGTTGTTTTGCTTTTAGCGCAGGCTGCTTTTCTCCTACATATCCAAAGGCATGCTCAATTAAGCAAATGCACTTTTTGGCAGCTTATGTTCTCTTTCTCCTTCTGTCTCTCTATCTGTCTCTCTCTCTCAACCTCTGCCTCCCTCCCTGTCCATTTACAAACAAAGCCCATGTTGATAGCGATGTATCCAGATTGCTGAATGAGGAACAAAGTCTATAGAGCCACAGATTCATTAAGGCTTTGTGTGCTTGGCCATAAAAAAGATCCCAAAGCGGAAAGAATGATGCAACGCTAAGTCCTAATGCACCATTGCTGGACTTCAGCAGCTCAGAGCTCAAACCCAGAGGCTAGATTGGTCCAGTAATGAAGAAATCACCAGGGCAGCCACCAAGAAGCTGGAATCCACTCAGTTTAACCGCTCAGACAAACAAGCACTCTGCGCTGCTGTGATGGATGCTCCCATTTGAAGGATTGACTTTTTCTCATTTTGATTTATGTCTGTTCATTTTCTCCTAATTTAGTGGTAGTCACTTATCAATGAGGAGGGTCTGTCTTCTATTGACAGCAGTATGATCAATGTGGAAACTCGCCTATTTATAAAAGCTGGACCTACAGCACTGTCAAACATCTCAACACTCGCTGAACACCGACCCTGTGTTCTCCAAAAGAACACCAACAAACCAAACATTGAGCTGGTCTGCCATATCTATGTTTGATTGTTGGGGGTCTCTAGAATGTTCTCCTTCATTCACACTGTTCAACAATGTTCTCTTTTCATTCATAATTCTCCCTCATTCCTATTCAATGTTGCTTTCCCTATTACAGTTATAGAATCTTCTTCCCTACTGTTCTAGAATGTTCTCTGCCTATTTACAGTGATCTAGAATGGCTTTAACTCATCCACACTATCTAGAATATTCTCTCCCCTTTCACCCAATTCAGTAATGTTCTCCTCCATTCACAGTGTTCTAGAGTGTTCTCCCTTATTCTCACTGTTCTTGAATGTTCTCACATTCATACTGTTCTATTATCTAACTATTCTCTATAGTTCTGCTTTCATTCACACTGTTCAGTAATGCCCCTCCCATTAATACTGTTCAATAACGTTTTCCTTTCATTCACACTGTTCTAGAATGCTATCCCCTCATTCATATCGATCCACAATGTTCTCTCTTTGTTCATAATCCCCCCCCCCGTTCCAGCTATTCAATAATGGTCTCCCTGTTACGTTATAGGATGTTCTTTCACATTAACACTGTTCTAGAATGTTCTTTGCCTACTTGCACTGTTCTAGAATGTTCTTTGCCTATTTAGCATTTGATATGCTCTCCCCTTCCACAGTATTCAATGATGTTCATTCACACTGTTCTAGAATATCCTCTCATCATTCATACTATTCAATAATGTTGTCTCCCATTCATATTGTTCTACAGTGTCCTCCTTCATTCACACTGTTCTAGAATGTTCTCCCCTTTTGACGGTGCTCTAGAAAGCTCTCCACTCCACTTGATGCTGGTCTAGAAAGTTCTCTCCTCATTCACACTGTTCTAGAATGTTCTCCCTACTCACACTGTTCTAGAATGTTGTCCTCTAGAATTTGGTCTAGAAATCAGTTCTCATTTCTGGACAGTATAAAGCCAAAACCCAACATCTGAATGTTGCTGTTGGTTGGGGAATGTTGGGTCAGTATGTTTTGAGTCACCCAACTGACCTATCGGTTAGTTAGAGTTAAGATTCTCACAACAGTTGCTAAGACAGAATGCATTTGTGGGTGAAGCATGGGTAGGTCAGTTGACTTGCTCGGCACAGAGGAATGGAATAGAGCACAAGGAAAGAGTGAATGGTCTATTTGAATACTCAAACTCACCAAGTACCACTGCTGGTTCCACATAGGGTCATCGAAGAGTTTGTCCACGGAGCAATCTTTACATTCACCCCCCAGTGGAGCGCGTTTACTCCGCTTCTTTTCATACTGCTGCTCTGCCCAAGACACCTTGAGGGAGGCAATGAAACAGAATACCTCAAACATCCATACAGACAGGAGACATGCTTATATAAATCATTTAAAATGGTAAATCATTAGACATTTTAAAACACCTTAGATTGACCACTCACAGGCCAACAGATGAGACTATATAATTGTTTTCAGATAGGCATTCATACTCATCTCAGAAACAGCAGGAAAAGACATGAATGGAAGCTCTTACTCTGTCATCTTCTGACAGCCTTTTGGTGATGTGATCTGCACTCCTTTTGGTCCTGCTAGGATGACTGTGATGTTTGAATAAATAATGGTTTTCTAGCACCCCAATCTGTGAAAAGGAGACAGAGAGAAAGAGTGAGTAAGAGAGTGATAGAATCTTTTGAAAAAGATGGTTCATTTTTGGAGCTAAATTAAGTTTGATCTAAGTGACGTAATTCCATCTGTCTGGTCTGGTCGGCCTGGCTCTTCCTCAGCCAGACACACAGCAGGCCTATTTGTATTCCTAACATGTACAGAGGCATATTTTTTATTATTTTTCCAGTTATTCCAGCCCCTGGTATAGCTAAATATTACAGATGTGGTCCTCTTTCTTTTGCAAATTGATAAGGTTTATCATGATTCTAGTTTTGTACATCTACTATTTTCCATTTTTTTAAAGCATATATTATTTGTACACAACAAACCAAAAATTATACAAAAAAATGAATAAACCTGGCGTTATTCCAATTTTGCAAGCAAAATGATGAGCCTCAGCTGGTTAAATGTGTCTGTGAGATTTATGTTTCCTGAGGTGAAGCCTTATGGCATCATACTTCTTTTGTCAAATGTAATAAATAATAACTACATAGAGACATACCATAAAATAGATGTTACTATTGAATTTATATCTGCATATTGAGAATTCTCAACATGTCATGTAGGCCTATATATACAGTGCTGTGTAAAAGTCAGAGACCACCATTTCCTTCATTTAATTTCCAGTCAAAATGTCCATTAAGTGGACATTATTCATTTTCCAGCTTTCAGAAAGCATATATTTAATCGTAAATTGCACAGAATAACTGAATACAAAATCAGTTTTTATCAGCAGTGTGTCCATACACAGCTTCCATTCTTTTGCAGGAGACTTGCTTTTATTTTGGCAAAGAAATCTGCAGGGATATTTTTCCACACCTCCAAAGTTCAGTCTTAGAAGTTGGTTACACTGTCTGTTTCTCACGAGCCCAGATCTGAAGCAAAAGCTGTGCTTCTCTCTCTCTCAAAGATAAAATCTTTAAGAACGGTTTATTTGATGTGACAGTTTTGGTGGTCAATCAGGTCTTGCATTGTTGTTTGGAGTCATCTTCTATATATCTTTTAATCATTTTTTAAACTTCAGTTTTGAAAACTCCTGTTTTCTCACTTTTTTCCTTTTGCAAATCTAATCTCCTCTGGAATATCTTATGAAAAAATTATATATTTATATAATGGCTGTTTTGACTGGAAAACGGTGGGCTGGCAAACTGACTGTTATACGGTAACAAAGGCATTTCTCTATGGTGTTCTTTTTCAATGTATGTTCTTTCCCAGTGTTTCACAAACATCTGCTTCTGGCTGACGTATGCAAACCAACGTCAGCAGCTGTGCCTCCTGCCTCTGGTGAATGAAAGCACATTCTCTGAAATCAAACAACACAGCACAAAAAGACAGATCTTCACTAAGACCATTTAAAACTCTACTGTGATGTTCCAATAAATGAATGACTATAAGGAATTGCACAACATATGAACCAACCTGTGGAATTCTTCTGAACTCACTGATCATCAGTGAGTCATCATTTAATGCTCTTATCCATTTTGGTAATTCTTATGACACAAAAACACTAGATCAGATTTTAAGAAAAAAAAAGGTCCAGCTAAACGGTGTTTATGATTTGCTTCCCATATCAATTCACACACATCATGTAAACAGATCAAACTCATCAGAGGTTCAGATTTTTATTGTGATACATCATTCTGACCCCAAAAGCAAGAGTAATTCCCACCAGCCAAGCTAAACTGGCAGGGTACAGCAACAGATTGAGCTCCTCGATCACAAAGCCATGCATTATAAAACCCCATGCATATGCAACAGCATTGCGTTCCAGCAGATTTTGGAGTCCAGCTGTAGCCTTTCAATTCAATTCAATTTGGATAGCTCTTTTTACAACATTGTCCCAAAACAGCTTATGGGTTTCAACACAGCCCAATGGCTTCAAATGAACCCAAGAATTTCAGCACAACTCAATGGCTTCATATCAATAAAAAGGGGCAAATTCCATTCATTTCAAACCATAGCTTTAATTCAATGCAAATGCTTTAACTCAACCCAAAGGTTTCAACTCACCCAAAGGTTTCAACTCAACCCGAGACCTTTAGCTGAACCTAAGTGGTTCAATCCAACCCCAAGGCTTCAATTCAACCCAAAGGCTTTAACTCCACCTAAAGAATTTAATTCAACCCAAATGCTTCAACTGGACCCAAAGGATCGAACCTCAAACCAACATCAACCCCAAAAATACTTCAAGTGTAGCTTCAACTCAACCAAAGGGTTTCAACTCAGCTCAAGACCTTCAGTTGAACCTAAGTGATTCAGTCCAACCCCATGGCTTCAATTCAACCCAAAGAATTTAACTCAACCCAAAGGTTTCCAATGAACCTAAGTGGTTCAATCCAATTCAAATGTTTCAGGTAGACCCGACGAATTAAACTCGACCCAAAACAAAACTTGTAGAGCTTCAACTCAACCAAAGGGCTTCAACTCAGCTCAATAGCTTTAGTTGAATCTAAGTGATTCAATCCACCCCCAAGGTTTTAATGCAACCCAAAAAATTTAACCCAACCCAAATGTTTCTACTGAACCTAAGTGGTTTAATTCAACCCAAGTGTTTCAACTGGACCCAAATGATTAACCCAAAAAGCCTCAAGTGACGCTTGAACTCAACCAAAGGGTTTCAGTTGAACCCGCGCGGCACTTTGCCTGGCTTACTAGGTTTTCCTACCTGTCTGATTAGTTCGTAGCCAAGCTCGTTGGCGATCGCTCGTGCAACGTCGACCCCTCCGGGGATCTCCACGGCCCACTCGTTGAGGTACTGCCGGTCGGAGGCGTTCACTCCTTGGCACGGCAGCGCGCTGAGAACCGTGAGAGCGCCGAAAATCACCGCAGCAGCACATCGCACTGCCATCTCAGAGCAAAGAGCAGCGCTGGAGAAACGGGGGCGCGTGCTGACTCCTGGGTGAGCAGGACGCGAGATGCAACAACTCAATAAATAAATAAATAAATAAGTACGTAAATAAGCAAACAAATAAATAAACCCAGAGCTCAAGAAAGAAAGATCAGATCCGCTCCGTTTGACTTTGGCATGAAGGCTCGAGGGGAGGCTCGCGCTGCAGCGTGGAGGGGAGCAGTTGGAGCAAAGCGTGGAAAGCTACCAGTGAGAGTGAGTCGTGAAAGGGTAAGGGATGTTTACGCGTCAAATTACGAAGAGCTCTGACGTCAGTTTGTACCTGGGGTAGGATGCTCTGGTCCCCGGAGGATGGAGGGAGTGGGGGGGTGGAAGAGACGGGCGGGGTAAGAGGAGGGGAGACGGGATCTATAAATAACCACTGAGCGCTCAGGCGAGGTGAAGACGGCCGCTGGAATTTAGGTTCAAGAAAACGACGACATATAAGAGGGATTTTTGTAAATATGTCGAAAATTGGAATAAATTGGATCTTGATTCACACATGACTTAGCGCATATTCTGTGATCAAAAGAGCTCTTTTAAATATAAAATGTATGTATTTATTAATTCATTTCTTTCATACGGTGACGAAGAAACGTACGTCACCAAGTCATTGCAGCACCACAGCACCGGACAGCTCCTGGCAAGGACTGTAGCAATGACCACTGGCTAACAATGACAGCTCTATCTAATTATATATTTGCTATATTTGACTGCTTTATCTATCTATCTATCTATCTATCTATCTATCTATCTATATATATATATATATATATATATATATATATATATATATATACATACACACACACACACACACATATATATATACACACACACACACACACACACACACACACATTATATATACATATATATATATATATATATATATATATATATATATATTGGTTGCACCATAACGCCAGTGTGAATTTAGTTTAGAGAGAGAGAGAGAGAGAGAGAGAGAGAGAGAGAGAGAGAGAGAGAGCTTTGAAAACCGAGATCACAAGCACGAATGAAAAGCATGCAGATGTATTCAGCCTGGGGTACAAAGAAGGTTTAGAATTATACTGAAATCAAATCAAATCAGATGTGCTTATAATAATTGTTTACTTTATCAATTTGTTAAAATTACAGGTACCACTTTAAAATAAGACTATCTTTATAAAGGGTTAATGAATTGTTTAAAATTAGTTTGTTAAGGGTTATTAGTTATGTCATAAACACGTTATTAATCAGTAATAAACAGTTATAACATTAAAAATAAGGGCAAAAGTGAGCAGACGAATATGAATGTGACGAAGCTGATGGGTTTAATGTTGACTGATTAAGACAAAGTGAGATCAGTAAACATCAAAATCTGAGATTTAACAGTTTAAATGAATCTGGGTTCACTATTAGGCAAACAGCACACCACACAGAAAGTTATTACATGAAATGATTAGGAATTCTCTGATTCCTGAGACATGGTTTTATGATAGTTTTACAATAAGGTATTACCCTACAAGATATTTAACATGTTCATGGTGGTGTACATGTGGGCGAAAAAGTCCACCAAAAAAGTTTTTTCTCCAAAATTAGAGTCACTGACCGTGTTGGATAGTAAATAAAATGGCTATATTTGTGTTCTAGATGTTGCGACCCCTGCTTCCTATCACCACCACTCAAAAGAACATATGAGTCAGTAAGTTTCTCTACAAATGAACCGATTCACATTAAGCCACTCTGAATGTCTCTCGACACATCTGTATGTGAAGAATCACAAAAGAACCTTTACTTTCTCTTCTCTAAAGGAGAAGCTCAGATGGGCTGCACAGTTAATTTAAGCCATGTTGGCGTGATAATGCAGTGCTGTACTCAGAGTGTCAGGCAGGTTCTTGAGCAAACAGCACAGCGGTCCATTCAGCAGCTGCTCTCTGCCTCTACCTGGCAACACCTGTTTGCATTAGAGCGGCTGGCAAGGCTCCACAGCACGCTATAGACCCTCTTCACAGTCTGCAGTGCACTGAAAATAGAGACATTAATCCTAGCTGAAGCAGTATAGACACTTTCTTATAAACCGTGTACGCTCACACAGTCTCTTGTTTTTTACTGTTTTGTCCAACAGCGCGAATCATTGGACTCCAGCCATTGAGTAAAGCAAGGGCTTGGCCCTGAGAAAACTCTGCAGCAGTGCCGCTACTCAGACAGCTCAGAACTCAATTACCAAAACACTGGCTCACTGCTTCCATGTTTAGTACAGAGGGTTGAGCGGGTTGATTGTTTTGTTGAACATAGATGGATGAGTTCAGTCATCCTTCTTATTCCAGGGAATCTGTGAGGTAAATACACAGACAGCAGGACTTTCACACACACACACACACACACACATGCACTCACGCACGCACACACACACACACACACACACACACACACACAATCTTGTTCCTGTGCATTGTGAGGTCATTACATAGACATCCATTCATTTCTTGGAGATCTACCTAAACCTTAACCAGAACTACTACTGGCTAATGATTTGCACTATGGGAACCAGCCTGTGGTCTGTGGTGCCCACAAGGAAGAAAGGTCCCCACAACATGAGTGTATGAACAGGTTTTGGTTGCCACAATGTGGCATAAACCTTGTTCATACACACAAACACACACACACACACACACACACACACACACACACACACTGTTTTTTTCAATGCCAGGACGTTGGGTCAGTAACACGTCCCAAACGTATTACAGTCCTTATTTAAATTCTAGTCAAAACAGCCATTAAGTACAAGCTATTCCCTTTTCATCATCTTAATAAAGCATAAGATTTATTTCACAGAAACATACTCAAAACTAAATATAATATTAAATATATCAGTATTTAGTGTGTTCACCCTTTGCCTGTATTACTTCTTCCATTCTTTTCAGGAGACTTGCTTTCAGTTTTTTCAAAGAATTCTGCAGGGATACTTTACCACACCTCCAAAGTTCAGTCTTAAAAGTTGGTTGCATTTTCTGCTTCTCACAGTCCAAATAATCTCAAACACATTCAGTGATGTTGAGGTCTGGACTCCTTGGCAGTAACACATCCTTTCAGGCCCATATTGTTGTAGGAGTTGTCTCACAGTGGAAGGATGGACAGAAACACCTGTGGATTTTTTAGCAAGAGTGGAGCTTGATTTTCTCTTATTTCTCAAAGAAGTACTGTAAAGAAAAAAAAAACAAATTTCTCCAAAATGATAGCTTGAAAGGAGAGAACAAAACACTCTTTAATTTTAATCTAAGTCAATGTAAAGAGATTTTTTTCCAAGTAATTTCGGAGCATTGCTATTGGTCCATTCATCATGAAATTCTGATACGATATAAAAGACAGCTGCTGTGTTCAAATAACAAGAAAAGGAGATACATTTGTTTTGGACTACAACAATACATAGCAGTAACTTATGACATAGACTTAGATATTACAGGCTGTTCACCAAAAGTACATATAAGCAATAATAACTTGCCCTATATATTAGATTTGCATGTACCTACACTGTTAGAAATAAAGGTTCTGCGCAGGCAGATTTTTTATTTATCAAGGTACAAACATTGTAAATGTTCCCTCAAATGGAATGGTTTAAAGTCCAATTGTGTATGTTAAGTAAGTTTTTCCATGGTGAAAAGTATGTATTTGTATCTTTTCTTAACCTAATGTTTTAAAATGGAACAATAAAATAAAAAGCCTGGAGACGAGACGGGGTGTCTGGAGTCAAAACGACTTAGAAAACATCATTTCAATGGATTATGGTACAATTATGTTCCCTGACCAAAGGTACTGAGATGCACCCTTGAGGATACCATCCCAGTGAAAGAGGGGTCCCACCCCAGTGACAGTTTCATGCTTTTATTTCTGAGAGTATATGTAATCTTAATGTACCTAAATGTATGTTTTGTTGGTTCCATACGGTGTCATGTTTTTCTCTACACAATCGGGACATTGTTGGCCTGAAAATATATGAAACACACACACACACACACACACACACACACACACACTCATAAAGAAAAAATAAAACAACTTCAAATCCTGGAAAAGCCAGATGAGCCAGTGATGCTGACCGTTCTGCTGTTTTTTCCGCTTTCAGGAATGACTTTATAAAGACATTCTAATGTGTAATGATGTGTAAAATAAGGTCTGCGACATATAAGCCTGAACGTTAATGCCAGCTTAGAGTCACAGAAGCAAACCAGTGCTCTGATAGGGCAAAGGCTACTCTGAGTCACAGCAGACGTCATGACCAGTGGTCAGTACATGTGTACATTACTCTGGAGTGAGTGAGTGCTGCAGGAAATTAGGGGACAAATTCACCAGGTGCCAGTGTGAGAGAGGGACAGGTTTACACAAGCGTTCATGACCTATCAGCAATCATTCATCTTATAAGAGCAGGATTTACGTCAACATGCTGCCATTAAAATCGAGTCAAAATGGAAAGGAAAATACTCCACTGGGCTTTGTTGTCCATCTTGTAGAGCAGTATCTCCAGACCGGTCTTGACCTTTCACATCATTAAGCTGATCATGGCATGTGATTCCTCTGATGCATTCAATGATCTTACGTTGTTTTGTCCTTTAAAATAATGTCTGTAAGGTGATGTAATGTAGCCATATTCCAGAATTGCATTCCAAAATGTTGCATATCCATTTGCAACAAGAAAGAAAAGTAGCTGACATACAGTATAACACAATTTGCCAAAAACACATTTTTATTTCTCCATAAAAGGTGCTTTTATCTCTGATACAGCATTTATATGTTTTGTATGTGTAAAGATCACTCCCAACAATATATGTACTTAAAAAAAAAAGAAAATTCATAGAAGTGGCATTAAATGCACTTTGGAATGAAACTCTTCATCAAATCAAAATCAAATCAAAATCTTCATGTGTGTATATGTGAGCATTTATGTTTATGTATGTATGTATACACATATGTAAGCATGTGAGCATCTATCTATATATCTATCTATCTATCTATCTATCTATCTATCTATCTGCTTGTCTCCTATCTGTCTATGCAGATATAAATATATATATATATATATATATATACACACACACATACATATATGTTATATATGATGTACATTATAAATAATATACTCATATAATATTATATATATATATATATATATATATATATATATATATATATAGTTATAGCAAAAAGAGGTTTGAA